TGAGACAGGCGCCACTGATGTGTTCGGGCGTGTCGAGCTCGACATCCTGTGGTTGACAGCGGCACGAAGCAAATCCAAGAGAGCGAGACCTCGGACCATTGACTGTTTGGACAACAAGATCGGACTTACTCGTACGGCGTACTCCTTTCCCTACAGCTCTCAGATCATGCTTCCGGTCCACCTGTCCCGACCACCATTTGCGAGAACACCTCTCTCGCGCTCCGGCTCAAGCTGTCTCGCTTACCAATATCCGATTAGCTTGAATTTCCCCAGCACGGCTAAATCGGGTGCCGGCGCCAGGAGTTGGAGTCGGCCGACCTCGCCGTTTCGACAAGGACAGGCCTGACTAGAGAACCACGTTCAGCAGCTACCTACGTACTGAGGACACGTGAGCGTGAGCTTGCTGTAAACTGAGGAGCCTCCAGCCACCGTCAACCACCTCCTCTCACCGACTCCGTCCCAGCTGCTCCCAACACACGACGCATGCCAGCCGCATCCCACTGCATCGAGACGACACGACACTGACGTGATCAATATCTGTGAGCATCTCCCGACGGCTCCTGTTCCTCGAGCTCCACCATACTGCTGGAAGACATGGGGAGAAGTACTAATACCAAGAGGCTGCAAGAATCCTATACGAAGAACTTACCTCGTGCTCCCTTCCGGAGACTCCATCCACCAGGAGGCGACCAGCAAGTCCACTCGCTGATCTTTTTCGAGTAAGTAATGATACGTTCACTCTCGCGCGGCCATTTCCAAATCAGGCTCTTCTGTTGTGGCCATCGCGGTTCGATCCGCAAAACATGGGGATTGACCAACCAAATGGCATTACACGGCTATCGACAATTACCAGGCCGTTAACCTCAGCGCACATATTAGAGTAAGTCTCCGTCCTTGTCCTTGCGTCCCTAGAGTCCAGATCACGATGTACTCGATATGCTCCGGGACAAAAATCCCAGGGGGCTGGCGGGATCTGACTGGACTTGTCGCCTCTGCTTGACCCTCCTTGGTGCCTCGTTTTGAGCCGTAGAGATGTTGAGTATCTTGCTAAAAGCGAACTCATCAGGACTACCGGTGGACAGGGTCTGAAGATGAGCTAGGAGCCTTGTCCGGCAAACTCGGCCATCCGAACGTCCTCAGACACAGCTTTTCCGTGCTTGACGAGGTCACTGACATCTTCAACGTGTTCTTCCTCGCGTTGGAGCTCGAGATTGAACACACTTTCCATTGTCAACACCGACTAATTGGCGGCATTTGCCCTGCAGGACCAAGATTGAACACTACATTGTCGACAGTTCCCCGTCTGATCAGCTATCCTGTCGCTTGTAGGAAAACATGCCGGTCGAGCTGCGCAAACGCCCAGCTCCAAAAGAACCCGCGGCACCGCCTCCGGCGGCTAAACGGGGCAGTGGCAGTTCCGTCAAGAAGCTTGCGGACAAAGCCAAGGCCGCGGTGACTGGGTCTGGGTCGAAGAAGTCCACAACCACGACTACCCCCGCCGCTGCGGAAACGGAACCGGAACAGCCCGCCACCACCGAAACATCCGCCCCCATTATTCCAGAGACTGTCCCAGCTGTACCTGGAACTGCTCCTGCCAAGGCCAATGGCACCGCGAAGGGCAGCGGAAAGTTGGAGGTAGGCGAGACGATCGATCTCGAGGGCTTTGGTGGGACGGTACAGACGCATGATGGTAGCAGTGTCACAGTGAAAGAGCTGATCGAGAAGAGCGGTGCTGGCGTTGTGCTTTTCACGTATCCCAAGGCCAGCACGCCGGGCTGTAAGTCACGTTCTGGTATCGGAGAGATGTGCAGAAGCTCATGGGTTGTCAACAGGCACAAACCAGGCATGTTTCTTTCGAGATAACTATGCGCCCATCACGGGGGCGTCACTTGCAGTCTACGGGTTGAGCACGGATAGTCCGAAGGCGAACACGACCTTTGCCACGAAGCAAAAGCTGCCATATCCTCTGCTGGTAGGTGCTTCACAGCTCCTCCCCAAGTCGAATGCTGACTTGTATGTCAGTGTGATCCCAACGCAACCCTCACCTCCGCGATCGGGATGAAGAAGCCCGGCCCTGGTAAATCCACGGCACGAGGGGTGGTCATTATTGACAGGCAAGGGGTCCTCCGCCTGTGGGAACAAGCCGGTCCTGAAAAGACCGTCAAGGCTGTGCTCGAATACATCAAGACCCAGGGCATGACTGAGACGGGCGCTCCGGCGGCAGTGGCTGCTCCGCCTGCGGATAACCCTGTCGCAAGTGAAGAGGCAGCTAAGCTAGCCGATCCGGACACCAAGATGGATGAGGTGCCTCTCGTCAGGACGCCAAGTAAGGCTGAGCAGGAGGCTGCAGAGACGGCGGCGGAGGTTGGTGAGAGTGCTGCCAAGCTCGATGGCACGTCCCAACCATGAGGATATCATCTCCGCATTGTTGGCTGTTCGGGCTGGTGAATGGGGGCGGGTTGGGACCGATTACTCTCCTGTGCCTTCTCGTAGGGCGTCCCTGGATGGTCCCAGGTACTCAACAGTAATAGTGCTTCAACACAGCAATTGCTTTCTTGCTCAGATGCTTCCTATGCCCGGATACCAGTTCTTGCCTATCCGCTGTATCTCGTTGATGAATTTCTTGCTGGTGATCTCCGGGCTCTTTCCTCCATAATTGGCAATCTGCAACGGTGTGCGTTCGTCGGGCATGTAGAAGGGGTTCAGCATGAGGTGTATATAGGCAGTCTGCACGGCACGGAAGGCAGGCTTGAGATCTGCATCTCTCAAGCCCACAGCAGCAGGAGGAAACCGTCTCTTGTCCTTCGGGGCGTCCTGTTCTGCGGGGTCTGGCGGCGGGCGGCCCATCATGTCGACCACAATAATGAACTTGATGCCCGTATTTGTAAGCCAGCCATAGCAGGCCAGACGGTCGTCGATGGCCTGGAGGAGGCCTAGATCCGAGTCCAGCAATTTGGTGGTACGGGCACGCAGGTCGAAGATGTCCAGACAACTGTTCAGCAGGAAGAGGAAGTCGAGTTCAGCATTTGGTCTGGTGTTGTGAGGCGGGAAGAGAGAGATATGGAGAGGTTGGTCGTATTTGCCGATGACGCCGACGCATGCTATTGCGGGCGACGAGTTGAGAGCCATGAGCAGGTCAAGCGTGATCAAGTTGCGATGCCGAGCATCATGGAGGAAATCCGATACCCCAGGATGCCAAGATATTCCACCGTCTGATTGGTGCGACTGAAGTGGATACTTCAAGCCAATCAGAGAGCTTGTAATTGTCCCGACCATTTCTCGACATCATATCATAGACTTGACAATTCGCCTCTCCCTCGCTTCCTGCTCTTCCTCGACGCCTGCTCAATTCCTTCCGCCGTCCACCCTACCGCTACCTCCCACCGACATCTCCTTCTCTACGGCAAGATGATGTCCTTGTCGAGATCAGTGGCTCCGCGCGCCCTGCGAGGTACGCACACAGCTCCTTCATCACCAATCCGATCACACTGACAAGACTGGCAGCATCAACTACCGCTCCCGTCTCGATTCTGCGCGCCGCCCCTGCAGCTTTCATTTCAACCTCTTCCCCTAAACCTGCGACCTCCATCGTCTCTCAATCACCCACCGCAACCGGCGATGCATCTCGCCTCCCGGTGACAGGCGGCCTCCGTCGCGAAGTACCCCTCCCTTCCCAGGAGAAAAAGCAGGGAGCCATGCAATACGCCTTGACCACCCTGGATCAAATCGCAAATTGGGCACGACAGGGCTCACTCTGGCCTCTGACGTTCGGGCTGGCATGCTGCGCCGTCGAGATGATGCACCTTTCCACGCCCCGCTACGATCAAGATCGCCTGGGTATAATCTTCCGCGCCAGTCCGAGACAGAGCGATGTGATGATTGTGGCCGGCACACTGACAAATAAGATGGCCCCTGCGCTGAGACAAGTGTACGATCAAATGCCCGAGCCGAGATGGGTCATTTCTATGGGCAGCTGTGCAAACGGCGGCGGTTATTACCATTACAGTTACAGTGTTACCCGGGGGTGTGATCGCATTGTGCCCGTGGATATCTACGTGCCGGGATGTCCGCCCACGAGTGAGGCGTTGATGTATGGCATCTTCCAGCTGCAGAAGAAGAGTATGTGTTACTCCAACTCGCTGTTCTGAATCTTGTTGTACTAACCATTTACAGTGAGACATACTCGCATCACGAGATTGTGGTACAGGAAGTAAGATTGAATGCGCGACGGGGAGACTGGAATCAGACCTTCATTTTAGCATTGACGGCATGGCGTTCGAATAGCAGACAGATCATGACCTCGGTCCTGCTTTTGCTTTCTCCAACAGCAGTTTCCCTCCTACGGCAAGGAGACATGTACAGAATGAAAACTTGACATGCGCTTTCATTTTCTCATCCAGGTTCTCGATCTAGTAGTCCAGCTCCTGACCGGTACCATGTGGCGCTCCTACGAGGTACGTCAATTTCGCACGTCAGATATATGGACTGGAAGCCCTGCAACGGCCTATGGTGGCATCGCTTGGTACGGCCTGAAGCTCGACGATTGCAGTCTCCAGATCAGTTGTTTTGTTCCCCTCTTCGCTGAACCTGCATCGCCTCCATAGCCTCCGTAGTGAAATCCAAAGCTGGACGGCGTCGGCGAAGCAGACCGCCTCACTCAGAATGCAGAATGATATAAGAAAGCGAACGCTCGGAACAATTGTCTCCTGCCAACCAGACGAGGATGGTGGTGGTTTTTTCATAAATGCAACTCTTGCTTATGAGAAGATGCTGGTGGTCGACTCCGCTAACCGGCTCGAAATGCGAAATTCGCTCCAGTCGGCCATCTTTGGAGTGTCAGTCCGGAGAACAGAATACTGAGCAAGCAGGGAGTAATTAGGCATTCTTGTGTGTATACGTATGGTATCAAGCTGAGAGGCTGTCTTGACCATCATGCTCTTCGTCACTGACCGGTAGAGGAGACAAGACGGCCACCAACGGAAAGGAAAAGTTGACATCCCATGGCCACACCGCTCTCAACCGCCGACGTCCCGCCGCAATTGCTCAAGGACGCTCTCCTCCTAGGACACATCCCATGGCGAGCCCTCCCCTCTGACCCCCGCGTCAGCTACAGTCTCTACATCCCCCCTCGGCACTATAACCCTTCCCTCGCCGCCGCGTCACCACCCGCAGAGAAACTCCCCTTGCTAGTATACATCCACGGCACGCGGCGGAACATCTCGGCCATCGACAGCAACGATGACCTCGTCCCCTTTGCCGAGGAGACGCCCTGCGCCGTCCTGGCCCCTCTGTTCCCTGTCGGTCTGGACGGCGTCCACGATCTGGACAGCTACAAGGTCCTCGCGTCGCGGACTTTGCGCGCGGATCTTGCCTTGCTGGCCATGCTCGACGAGGTGGCGCGCCGGTGGTTCGGCGTGGACGCCCAACGGGTCTACCTCATGGAGTTTTCGGGCGGGGGTCAGTTCGCTCACCGGTTCCTCTACCTCTACCCTGAGCGCATCAGGGCCGTGAGTGTGGGCGCGCCGGGGCGGGTGACGATGCTTGACCGGACGAGACGGTGGCCTGGGGGCATTGGGAGGGTGGAGGGTTTATTCGGTAGGGGTGTTAGCGTGGAAGGTATTCGCCAGGTGCGCATCCAGCTCGTGGTCGGGCGCGAGGATAATGTCCTGCATGGTGGAGAGGGGTTTCGGGAGTGGGTGAAGGAGTTCAAGGCGAAGGCCAAGAAGGCAAAGGAGCGGGCCAAGGCCATGACCGGTGAGAACGGTGCCATGGCCGAGCACGGGATTGAGCATGGAGACGCAGCAGAGCAGAGTGCTGGTCTCGAAGACATGCGACAGGGCCGATTGGACACCGTCACTGAGTTACACGCTCTATGGAGGGACCAGGGCATCCACGCACAGCTGGATATCATCCAAGGGATGGCTCATGAACAGAAGCCCGCCAGGGGCGTGATGCTTGAATTTCTGCGCGGAGCTATGTTATCTGTCTGTGCAAATGGGGGGGCGGCCGTACGCTAGGAGAGATCGTCGCATCCTTACGGGATGGACGGCAGTTGAATAAAAACGTACGGAGTGACCTGCCTCAGTCACTGTTCCAAGAAGTCATGTCGGGTGAAGCTGGAGTAAAGTGAGAGAGAGAAGAAGACCCCGAGTACCGGCTTGCCGTTCCAGCACCTTTCAGCCGCACAGGGTCATGCCAATGGCGAGTTGCCACACGTCGCGATGCTCCCTTTTGAGGACCTCGTCGGAGCAAGGCTGGACCTAAGAAACTGCGGGTTTTGTAGGAGAGTTGATGTGCGACACCAGCACCCACCTTGAGGTCAGATCGGTTGGTCGCATTGTTGAATATCAATGCATCGACTCGTTCGATGTCACATCGCATAGCCTGCTGGGAGTTCTAGGGGACTGATGGCAGGGACGTTGTATGGGCAAATTACCGTAGACTGCCGACTCTGAGGCCTTCGCATGATTTCCATAGGCAAACAAGGCTATACACACGGCCATCACCAGCTCCTACACGCACATCTTTCAATCGACGCGCGGTGCCCATGACCGAGTTGGCCAGCAGGTCGATTTCCGGCACGCGGCTGAACACTGCACTATTCCTTCCGGAAGATTTCCGGATGGATGGAGCGATGTGTTGTTCTGTGTACACAGCACCATGTTCGGTTAATTCTGGTTGAAGCAGATCACCTTACCAAGGTGGCGGCCAGTGGATCGTGAGCATGCCAAAGGTGACTCTCCGCAAGAGCAAAGTATAGAACAGCATAGTCGTCAGTCACCGCAACCGCGACAGTCGTCTACGGCGATGACGTGGTGCCTCGAGACGCTGACTCAGAGCCTTCCACGGTCTTCCTACCAACTCACTCCCTACACAGTACAAGGGCGTGATGGCAAGCATGGGTACGTGGCCACCTAGGCTCATCGAGACCGTCACCTCCTGCTCGCCATCTCTCCAATGGCATACCTCGAAACTGTCAGCAGCAGCAACGTCGGGTCAAGATACGAACCACATCGTACGCTAAGTCTCTTCCGACCATTACGACCAGAATGTGTGTAGACGGTTGCTATTTTTAACCCCTGATTGTCCCGGATGAGTTTCGCGTCGACCACCGTGCAACACGCCATACAGAGGTGAAGCATTCCAGCACCCCGGAAAACCACCCGTCAGATTGGTCTGCTTGATGGGCAGACACCACAAACGCCGGCAAGTCGCCGTCGACATCGAGCCTCACATTCCTCTTCCGGGCGGCGCGGTGCATCCAGTGACATGGATGTTCAAGCCACCCGGGCCGCGCAACGCTCGAGTGATTGTATACCCGGGCGAACAACCAACGGCGAGCCATGTCATTGCCTGAAGGCGGGATATAAGAGAATACAACCACCGGGATAACGGAGACGTGCAGACGGTAGGATCAGATACGGTACAACTAGCCACTGTAAATTGACCAGGCTGTTTACAAAACTCGGCCACTTCCACGACAATTATTATCTTGGTTTTGTACCTCTCCTGACTAGATACCGTCGCCTCGGGAGGCCAACCGCCGTTGTCACCAACACACATCCTCCAGAATGAAGTCCCAGCTTTTCTCGGCCATGCTCTTCGCTGCCTCAGCAGGTAAGGCGGCACTTCATCACCGCATCCTTCCCATGCCAATGCTAACGCGCCGTGTCCAGCAACTGCAGCAGCAGCAACGATCCTCTCCGACGCCGACCATCCCCAGCAAGAACCCCATGCAGCCCTCCAGAAACGGGCATTCTACCAGGACAGTTTCAAGATATACAAGCGCAAGCGTAACGCACACGCCTGCATAATGTCCATTGTCTTCATCGTCTTGTTCCCCCTCGGCGCCATTTCCATGCACTTGCCACTCCGCGGCGTCCGCGTCACCACGCGAATCCACGCCCCGATCCAGATCCTCGGCCTTGCGATGATGATCGGCGCCATGGGACTGGGAATCGACATCGCAGACGTGGATCTGAATTTCTTCGCAAGGGACACGAGCACGAAGGCACATGTCGTGATCGGCCTCCTCACGTGCTCTGTGCTGATCTTGTTCCAGCCGGCGCTGGGGCTATTGCAGCACTTGCACTTCCGGCGCACGGGGAAGAAGAGCATCTTCGCGTATCTCCATCGGTGGACCGGCCGTGTTGCGATATGTCTGGGGTGGATCAACTCAGGGCTGGGATTCCAGCTTGTGCCCATCTCCCTGGTTTCCACCGGGTCGCTGGTGAGGAATTTCGTGCTCATGGGCGTGTTGGGAGCCGTGTGGTTCCTCTTGGTCGGGTGGGACGGGTACCGACATCACTGGGCGAAGAAGGATAAGCTGGGGGCGTATCGCGTTGGATGGGACAAGGGGGTCGTGTTGAGGAGGCAGCACGCGGTCGAAGATGGGACCAAGGACGACGTGAAATTGGAGTCCAGTCATTCTGGAGATCAGGGCACCACTGCTGGAGAGCAGCACTTGTAGACCATTGCGGCTTATATCATAGAATGAACATAGAAACTACCGAGCAGGAGGGTGAAACTGTTCTCCTCAGTCTATGAGACAGGAGTCATCATAAGTACAGCGTAGCAGCTCGCGCCACCGAAGCCGCAGCCTTGCCATCTCCTCCATTGAAGCCTTGCTCATGGCGCATCCAGAACGGAGCATGAATGTGTAAGCAGTCGCGATGCCGATAGAGGGGAGACAGATGCTACACGTCTAACCTTTCTCTCACCTTTCCACTCGTCAAACGATTGTCCCGGTCATGCATCATGTGACTTCAGTCAGACTTCACCCCGACTTCACCCCAACTTCACTCCAACTTCATTTTCAATCTCTCTTGTGGGTACTCTCGTACTGTACAGCGACTGATATCCAGGTGATATCGCCCATCTCCGCACACGGCCACGGACAGCGCCTATTTCGATAACGGCGCTGCAGCCGAACCTTTTCATCCATGATCAATTCCCTGTTTCGGCCTGTTATCGTTCCTGCGCTGTTGCAGATCGTGCGGAGAACAGCATACTATCCCGTGCTCCTTGCTCAGTTGAGCTGTCGATGCATAGACCGCCTTCCTTACAATGGAAGGTCGAGTCTCAAACATTGATTTGGTGCCCACGGTGCCTATGCCTCCAAGGCCTCATTGGCCGGACCTCTAATAGCTCAAGATCATCCCATGATAGTCAACCATGAGACCTTCGGCAGTTGGCCGGATAAGCCAACGACCGTTGTATCCCCGAGCTGGATATGTATCGAGGTCTGATGGAGATATCTATCTGAGGTGGCAGTCATCCTCCTGAGGAAGAAACAGCTGGACCGGGAAAGCCCAGAGCAGGGACCATGAAGGACGACATTGAAACACAACAGGCCACCACTGTGGTGCACCCTGTCGAGACTATCGACGAAAAGTATGTCGACTACAAGGATGTGGATGCAGCCCTGGGCTTCCTCCGCAATAATGCCGCGTCCGGCGAAGTTGTCCATATCGACGAGAAGAAGTTGATGCGCAAAGTCGACTGGATGGTGATGCCGTTGATGTTTGCGTGCTGTGAGTCCCTCGAATGCCTGGAAGGCTTCTGTCATTCTGGGTCTGTCAACGCGGCACATGCTAACACAGATTCGCAGATTACTTGCAGTATACCGACAAGACGCTGCGTAAGTCCCATGGTGCTGGCAAGCAAATCATGTTGTTGACGTGAAGCAGTGTCGTATGCGTCGATCATGGGTGTCATCGAAGACACACACATGCCCGCGAACGGTTTCTCGAACCTGGCTATTGCATTCTACGTCTCTTTTCTCATCTGCGAGCCACTTCAGTCGTTCTTCATCCAGAAGTTTCCCACCGCCAAATACTTGGGTGCCAATGGTAAGGCCTCTCGAGCACGGGGTTTGCAAGTACCCACCGCTGACCCAACAGTGATACTCTGGGGCATCGTTTTGACGATGAACTGCGTTTGTCATAACTTTGCTTCGGTCGTCGCCCTTCGTGTTCTGCTGGGTGTCTTTGAGTCTGCATGTGCACCCAGGTCGGCTACCCCGTTTCCTCTTCTCCGGATAACTGCAGCGGACGCTTGCTGACAGATCGGCCCAGTCTCGTCATTCTCACAGCCATGTGGTACAAGAGACACGAACAGGTCTCTCGCATGGGCATCTGGTACCAAGGCACGTCGGTGGGACCAGCAGTGTCCTCCATGGCGTCATACGGCTTTTTACACTACACGAACTCGAACCCAAACCTGCACTTTAAGTCCTGGCAGATATTGTTCCTCTTGTTCGGCATCATCACGATCTTCTTTGGCATTCTGGTTGTCCTATTCCTGCCAGACAACCCGATGAAAAGCCGGCTCTCCGATGCAGAGAAGCTCTTCATCATCGAGCGAGTCCGCGACAACCAGACGGGGATCGAGAATAAGAAACTCAAAAGCCATCAACTCAAAGAGGTGCTCTTCGACGTCAGGACGTGGCTGTTGAGTCTGGTTGTCATCACCACCAACGTTCCGAACGGCGCTGTTAGTTCGTTCTCGAGCATCATCATCCAAGGGTATGAGTGGGCGCCTTCTTTCCTTGTGGCGTGCTCCCTGACGTGACGCAGGTTCGGATTCGACGAGTATACAACGCTGCTCCTCAACCTTCCAAGTTGTGCTGTCGCCTTTGTCGCCGTCTGGTTCGGCACCTGGTGGGCGGGCCGGTACAACGGCCGAGGCATCGCCATCATCGGCTTGATCATTCCAACCTTACTCGGGGGCGCACTGATGGCATGGCTCCCCGCCGACCGGAAGGCCGGATTGCTGGCAGGGAACTATTTGACAAACACCGTCGGAGCGAGTAAGTGGGATGGCACTGAGATGAGACGTTCACGAATCCTCTGCTAACAGTCGTTGAAAGCCCTCCCCCTGCTGTACAGCTGGATCACCTCGAACTGTAAGTGTTTCTCTCTTTTGTGTCATGCTATGCTACGCGGTCACTCCTTTGTACCCTCCAGCTAACCCACGCAGATGCTGGCCACACCAAGAAAGTCACCATGAACGCCATCGTCCTCATGAGTTTCTGCATCGGAAACATCATCGGGCCCGAGACGTTCCGGGACAAAGACGCGCCAACGTACATTCCCGCCAAACTGACCATTGTCGTCATCCTCGCGGTCGGGATCGTCGCCGCCGTGCTTCTCGACCTGCTCTACCTGTGGGACAATAAGAAGCGAGACAGGGAAGAGCCGCAGGAACTTCCGCAGGATTACGAGTTCCTCGATCTGACGGACAAGGAGAACCGAAACTTCAGATACTTGCTTTGAAAGGGATGCTAGACTAGACCAGCGGAAGGTGAAGTAGCAAGGTGACACACTAGTGGTTGTACGTATGCTCTGAGCATGTTAGCCATCGGTGCAGAGTAGGGGATATAGAGACCTAGCCCGCGTATTGCATTTCACATTGGCACCGACACATTCAGTGGTCCATAGAAATTCAAGTCAAGGCCGCTGCGTAAATAATTTAATGACTCCCGCACCCACCAGTCCATCCTATAAACAAGATCCCTTCACAAGCGCAGTCGAACACCAACCAAAAATGTGTGCAAGACAAAAAAGATGAACAAGAACAAGAATGAAAACGTCCAACAGAACCGACCATCCGACCTCATTCTACCTCTGCCCGACGCGATCAAGGAATCCAAGAACTCCGCCCTCACACCATCCACATTACCCTCTGCGATAGGTAGAAGGGGTGGGACGAGAACATTTTCCTCTTACAGGATGGTTTTTCCCCGTCGATGATGGCGACCCTTGTCGTTGTGTTGTGTCTAAGGACAAATCCATGCTTCAGGAAGACCCAGTCATTACTTACGAAACCGAGGACCGCGTGGTACACACATACGTACATACCTAACTAGGTAGGTAGGTAGGTAGGTATGCTCCCACGAAAGTCTCGGCCAAGAAGCGGATGTCTTTTGTCCCGGATTGTTGGGAGAGATTTGGGAAGCCGGAAAAATATATTCCTACCAATGGGTGGTGAATTCCCCGAATCTAGGATGTAACTGTGTTGGGCGTGGTGGCAGTCGCAATTGAAGCGGAAATCCGCAGAGCCATTAATGGAACAATACCTGACCCTTGGGGGAGCTACATTACGGACTTCACCGGTCACGTACTGTACTGTACTGTTACTACTTCACCGTAGACGGACGGGCGTATTATGCGGAGGTTTGCCGTCTCGACTCTTTTCACCTTCGCGCCGGGTTCAGGGGCAGGGTGACGACGGGGCTGAGGGATCCTTGATTCCCCTGGAGCAGGAAGTCAAGGCGATGCGTATGGCAGGCATGTGGCTTGTGGAGGGACCGGGCATCAACCTATGTAAGGGCAAGCAATCGGTACTCTAGAGTCGAGTTGGCGAAGCACATCGGCGACCAGGTGTGTGGAGTTTCATATGCGTGTAGCGCTTACACTTGCACTATGCACTATTCTGTTCGCTTGTGTCTTTATACTGGCCATACGGCGGGGAAAAGAGACGTTGGAATAGTAAACATGAAGCATCCGAGGACCAGGGTGGAGCTCTCAAATGAATATGGTGTGTATGCAGCTCTACTCTGCACTGCCCTGCCCTGCTCTGCTCTCTATTCCAATAGCCGCAAACTGCAGCGGAACAGAGCAGGGCAGAGCTAAGCCATTCGCACGCCGCTCGCACGCCGCTCGCGATCACTCAATCAATTTCCTCAAATCAGGACGTTCTCGCAGCTCTTTCAACAGGTCCTGGAACGGTTGGTCGTCATAGACTTCGGCCTGTTCCTTAAAGTACGCCATGTTGTCTTTCAACCATGTTCCCTCGTTGTCGGCCTGCGTTGGGAGACCGTCAGCTGGCGCGCACACGCGGACGATATATGCTAAAGGGGCATCATGCATAGAGAAAGCCGATCCAGCAGTCAACGGGGGGGAAAAAACACTCACACTTGGAAGAACCACGCCGTTCTCAATCCCAGTAATGACACCCTCGAAGCCCACAATGTGCAACTTCCTAGCTCTCCGTTCCTCCTTGCTCAATTCCCCGCCATGGCCGTGGACGCCGTTGGTTTGGCCGGCCTGCTTTGGTCCGTTGACGACCTCGTACCAAGCCGCCTCGAGTTTCTTGGCAAAGTTGTCAAACCGCTCTTTGGTGCGCTTGGGACCCGTCCGCACGGTGCCAATGATACGGTTGGGAGAGGTGGCGCCGTTGTTGTACAGCTTTCCCGCGAGGAAGAAGTCGCCGACCGGTTCGGCTGGGTGGAAAATCACGTTGACGAAGAGTGACGGCGTCAGGTATTCGGTGCTGTGGAGCACAGTAATGCGTTCGGCGAGAAGCGATTTTTGGTAGGGAGTCAAGGAAATGCCATGGATAACCTGCCACGAGGACTGTCAAAAGCCAGGCCGGAAGAAACGAAGAGCAGACCGGGAGTGCTGTGGGACCGTCTTAGTGCGGACAGCCTTACCTGGTAGATAGGCATGGTCCCTGTTCGTCTCTCTTCGGCTGATGGCTCTCAAATACGGGTTGTGCTCGGGACGTTCGAAGGATAGAAAGTTCGGTTGTAGTGGCGTCGGTGAGGCAGTGTGATATTGTGAGGGGCCGAGGAAGGCTGTGTTCGCAACGGGAAGATTGAGGAGGCAGCATGTTAAGGCCGGAGGATACAGATCAAACATCCGTTCGTCAATTGATGAGTATTCAGAAATGAAGCTTTTAATCCTCGGCATCCTGCTCGTGTCGGGGGCGCAGTGAGACCGTCAACGAATCTCCAATCAGTGTATGCTGCTGCATGCTATAACGAATCCTGTGACGAGTATCGACAGTGCTCTAGCGTAGTGCGGGGCTCCGCGTGTGCAGGGAGAACTTCAGGGACGCGAGTCAGCAGGAACTGATCGGTTGTAGTAATCCATCTGCAATGTGAGAGCACTCGGAAGCCACTTCTGCGGTTTCGCTACTGCCGACGAACAAGATAGTGAATCACCGTGTCCGGCTCGCGCAGGAACTGTCCCTGCCGCGACGAGATCCAGTGTCGTTTAGCTGGCTCGGGACAGATCTTCCAAGGCAGGGCGTTCTCGGGGCTCTTCTCGAAGCTGAAAGAGGTCTCATGGCATTAAGCCCACCGAAGGACCCAGTGCATTATCCCAAGCGGGCCAATCGAAATCCCCTTGGTCATACAACATCTCACCCAGAGTTTGCAAAGCGCCTCCCTGGTCCATCTCTTCCGGCTGCGATTCCGTTTCACCGCCACCGACTGATGCCTGGCCACTAGGACCAGCTCTGGTGGTTGGGCCGTGCTGGTATGTTCCACTACCCATGTCATGCCCGTCCACAGAGACCTTCTCGCCGCAAATACATCTCTTCGAAGCAACGACGCTTGAGGGGAAAAGCACATGATGGTCCATACCTACCTGCTGCAGCGCCCTCTGACGTGTCCGGACGAGCATCGTCCATGCATCTCTTCCAGAAGGCGAGAGTTGACGTCTGGGCGGATCGTGTTGACTCACGACACCTTCGTCGACCTGATACAGCTCGAAGATGGCGTCGATCAGCCCGCGAGACAGGGTCGCATCGTCACTATGAGGATGTTGCAGGAGGTCGGCGAGGAGGAGTGAGACCGCTTGGAGCGGTTGGTAGGTACCTGGATACATCCAATGATAAGGCTCGGAGATCGGATCGTTGCACACACGGATGAACAGTTGAATGAATGCTTGCGCGTGTTTCACGGCACTGTAGACATGGTCAGTGCTCTTCTGAAATCATTTCAGCTGTCAAGCGGAAAATGCTGCTTACTTTGTTCGAACATTGTCGTGAGCTACCATCGCAGGATCCCTGAAGAGCGGGTGGTACAAGACGCAGTATGCTTTGTGAACCATCAGGTGGAGGAGGAGGGCGGCCCAAGCAGCGAAGTTCACGATGTCTTTATCGTTCGGGCTCGGTCGTAGCGTCCATGTCTGACCAATGTTTGGATGCATGGGTCCGCCCGTCTGAGGTACAGTGGAGGCGGCCGAGTCTGTACTTGTCATCACCGTGAGAAGAGTTTCTACGGCTGCACTAGTCCGTGTTGCTATTCTCTGAAGCCGGTTGGCGCATTCTTCGACTGCCTCTAAGGTCTGGAAGGAATCCTCGAAGTGGAGCACGAGGATCTCTCTCATCTCCTTGCTGATGGCGTAACGGTGAGATGCCACAAGGTACCGGATGTCGACTGTACCATGTCAGCAACATTGGGATTTCTTCACGTCGAGTAGTGACCCACCTTCTTGTCGAGTCCCCACATCACTGTCTGATGGATCATACTGAGATATCGCTTCCGTGTTTGCCATCTTTTGATTGATGAAAAGGGGAGAAAGGCCAGAAGAAGAGGATGACATGACGTCCAAATGAAGGATATACCACCACAGACGACGCCTAGTCTCAAGCTCGGCAGCACCAAAACTCGACTCCGGCAGCTGTCTGTGCAAACCCATTCCAAGTGCGACACGGAAGGAGGTAGCAATAAAATCAGGGGCGTCGGAAAACTCTTCCTCGCGGACGAATTGACTCTGAGCGATGATGTACGCTGCGAGCGAAAGGATGCTTGGACGCCTAGGGAAGCCAGTCAACGTTGCAGAGACCATTGCTATGAAGTATACGTCGCCGACATTTATGTCGGCTGGACTTTCAAACATCTGCTCGAGTCGAGCCGGTGATGCTGCTGAGAGAGCTGCAAACAGGATGGCTGACAACAGAGATAGGAAAGCCGGTTTCCTTCTTATGAAGATGCTAGGCTCAGAGTTGTGTAGATCGTCTGGATTGACCCCGTCCCAGAATGACCCGAAGTCATCGGCGAAGCCTTTGATGTGAAAGATCGGGACAAGGGGAAACACGGTCGCGAAGAAGAAGCGGCAGAGCTTTTCGCACGTCTTCTGGTTTGGCAGTAGTGCCATCACGCACGAAATGTTGTAATTCCGTCCACAGAGCTTGCATTTATTCGATGATGCTTTCATCCACTGAAAGTCACGGTTGCGAGGCGGACGAAATTTCTGTCCCATCCATTCGAGATCTTGACCTTGTATGTTCGATGGGAACCTCGCGAAAGGCCCTGTTTCTCCTGAGCCCAATCCTGTTGTCTCGCGATTGCACTGGCCCGCAGTCAGTAGAACTGGCTGTGTGGAAATAGCGACACTATGCAGGAAATAGATACCTCTGCAGGTATTGCATTCGCCCAATACGTCGACCCAGTATAGGCTGTGCGACCGCCATCGTAGACAGCGAGGTGTCCTCGCTCATGGTTGCTTCGTCTCATAGCAGCATCTGTGGCTGGGATCCGGGTCATTGATCCGGCCGATACCGACAAGTTCAGAAAGACGGTACTTACGCTCAGCATGGAGTCCTCCCGGTCCTGCCTCTTCAGTCCTTCCATAGCTCGTTGGTGCGGAGGATGGCTGCTGAGAAATTGAGGTGCTTTGCCTTGTGGAGGATTTGCCTACGGCAGACTCGTCGTAGACGCAATCGGTGCCACCTGCCCGACACCGTCCACACATGGGATGAACCTGTAGCGGAGTTGTCAGTGGTTCTTCATCGCTCACACAGCAGCATTGAGGGACGGAGCCGTTACTCTGTCGCACTTCAGGCGCCGTTTTCGACAGGGCAGGCAGGAGGTAACTGGACGTTGTCTCTTCTTGCCATCCATTCTGATCGGGAAGATCTTTGGCCTGTGCGAGAGTGCAAGTCCGGGGGCACCACGTTATGTACTCACGATATTCTTCCCATCGATGGCGGGTGTGATCTACTCGTGTTGTTCATAGTGGCCGACAGAATTCTTCCCGAGTCCACCACGATCAAAGCAGCATGCGCAAGCGTCGGCTGGCCGGAGATCGGCAAAGCGTCGGTGAAACTTTCCGCAGCGTCCACGCAGCCACTGCGTACATTTCTTTCCTTGCGCGAGGCTCGATTACAAGGCTTGGGAGATTTCGGAGTTACCCTGAGGACAGCCAACCTTATCTGAAATGGCGCATGGTTACCTCGTATGTGAGGACGGATCGAAGCCTGCTCACAGATGAAGGTCAGGTGAATGTGATTTCACATACTCTGTGGAAGGCAACAGGGTCCCCAGACACCCAGATTGAAAGGTGTACAGGTCATTGTCAATGGCCTCCCGGGTCGATCGTTCATGATGAGTGGGTGATTGGGCAGATGACAGCAGCAAACTCGGCCGGGAAACAAGACAAAGGGAGAGATATTTCGCCGTAACGGATAATCGTTGAAGCGCTCCGTCGCGGCCAAAATTCGTTCTTGCCATTGATTGGCTACCTCCATTACTCGTATGTCTTCATCACCCTCTGTCGCCTGCCATCCCATCAGCTCCCTGTCGATCGACCTATCCACCTCGTGATACTGCTGCGACTTTCAGCGGTCGCCGCCATGGAGGTATCGACGGCCCTGCGGAGCCTACCTCGTCGGGCGCGGCGGGTAGCACCCTCGAGCACAACACTGCAGCCCGCAACATTAGCCTACTCACCCATGGCAGTATGGAGCCGGAGACAATTTACAAGCACGTCTACGCCATCGTTTCCGGGAGGCCCGATGGGGATGGGAGGCTCCGGGGGATCGTCACCAACGTACTTCCAACGCCAGAGTTCGCTACCTGCGAATACCATCATCCGATTTGTGCCCCAGCAGACAGCATGGATAGTGGAACGGATGGGAAAATTCAATCGGATACTGGAACCTGGTTTGGCTATCTTGATGCCAATAATTGATGTATGACGCGCTCTTGTCCGAGACATGTGAAGACTCGGAGACTGATATTGATCGCAGCGCATTGCCTACGTCCAGTCACTCAAGGAAGCGGCAATCGAGATCCCCAGCCAAAGCGCGATCACGGCGGACAACGTAACGTTGGAGTTGGACGGCGTTTTGTACACAAGGGTCTTCGACGCATACAAAGCGAGGTAAGAGGTCCCCGGCATGGCGAGAATGGACTGACCAAGCGCAGTTACGGGGTCGAGGATGCAGAGTACGCCATCTCGCAGCTAGCGCAGACGACGATGCGATCCGAAATTGGTCAGCTCACCCTCGATCACGTCCTCAAGGAGCGAGCGAACCTCAATGCGAACATCACCCAGGCCATCAATGAAGCGGCGCAAGAGTGGGGTGTGGTGTGTTTACGGTACGAAATCAGGGACATTCATGCTCCGGAGGGCGTGGTAGCAGCAATGCACCGACAAGTGACGGCCGAGCGATCAAAACGAGCAGAAATCCTGGACTCAGAAGGTCAGCGACAGAGCGCAATCAATATCGCCGAAGGTCGGAAACAATCAGTCATTCTGGCTTCTGAGGCGTTGAAGGCCGAGCAGATCAATATGGCATCAGGCGAGGCTGAAGCTATCTTGATGAAGGCACAGGCAACCGCCCAAGGCATCGATGCCGTTGCAAGCGCCATCGGGCGAGGCGAAGCCAACGCCCAGGGAGCTATAAGCTTAGATGTCGCCAAGGAGTACGTCGCTGCGTTCAGGCAGCTCGCGAAGGAGGGCACCGCAGTCGTGGTGCCAGGCAACGTCGGCGATATGGGGCAAATGATCGCCAGCGCCATGGCAGTGTATGGCAAGGTCAACGAAGGTCAATCGAAAACAGCTGCCCGACACCTGTCGGCGCCAACAGCGGTGACGACCGAGGGCTCGAAACCTCAAGATTTGAGTGACAAGGACGTGGCCCAGACTGTCCTGGAGGGATTCGACCAGACAACGAATGCCCGGAAATGAGCGCACTGCTAACATGGGGGAACATCTGGGCCGGAATCAACAAGAAAGTGGATATGTTCAACTCCTTCGTGACGCGGTAACAGCGGGGCATATGTGTATGAATGGCACGGATTGACCAAAAGTTGATAGCGATGTGTACCATAGTCCTCCCTCAACTCGTGGGGGAGAAGCAGCAGCGGAAATGTAATCCAGCAAACAAAGTCTCCGGCATAGTTTGGAGATCCTTGAGTTAATATTTATTCCATTGGTCGAACCGTATTTCTGGGGTTCCAACTTGGTGCCTGAAGGTCGCTTGTCATATGCCAAACTGCCAAAGTGAATGCTGGTCAACATGTTACTCTCAGCACCTCCATTCAACCACAGATCCGATCTCTTCAACGCGCAGCTTTGCCCTGACCTTAACTCGCCCTATGGTCACACTTATCGTCGATCTTTCCAATAATTGTTGATCTTCTCCGCCCAGAATGTTCTTCGCACCGCCGCAGAGATAAAGCGCGATGCACATCATTAAGCCCATCTGGCTCACCCACGGAGGTGCGACCTTCTCCTACAAAGAGACATTGGACGCGTCGCAACCGCGTATACCATGTCGCATGCGCGTGATTGACATGGAGGGAGGCTGACAGGAGGCACAAACAGGAGAAAAGAAAGATTTCGAGGTCTACAGTTGCCATGTCTCTCCAGACGGCCAGCGCCTGGTCACCGCGGCCGGTGGTATGTGGACGCCCGCTCTCCAAGGGAAATCCGAATGCCTACTGACGTTTACAAGACGGCTACGTGCGAATCTGGTCAACCGAGGCCATCTACAACGCGGTCAACTCGAAATATGACAAGCCTAAGCAGCTTGCGTCGATGAGTTATCACTCCGGGACCATTCACACAGTGCGCTTCTCGCCTGGGGGAAAGTTCCTGGCTTCGGGCGCAGATGACAAGATTGTGTGCATATATACCCTCGATCCGGGCCCGCCCTCTCATGCCGCGTTTGGTTTGTTGTCCGGTCTTTTAAGTGAGGAGAAGGAGGCTTGCTGAGAATAGACACAGGTTCCAACGAGGCACCCCCGGTCGAGAACTGGCGCATCTTTCGGAGACTGATCGGACATGACAATGATGTGCAAGATCTGGGATGGTCATACGATGGGACAATTCTCGTGTCGGTCGGCTTGGATTCGAAAGTGGTGGTCTGGTCGGGTTTTACATTCGAGAAGCTGAAGACACTACCCAACCACTCCAGCCACGTCAAGGGCATCACATTCGACCCGGCGAATAAATACTTCGCCACAGCCAGCGACGACAGGACCATCAAGATCTTCCGGTTCACATCCCCGACACAGAATTACACCACGCATGACGCCGTGAACAACTTCGTGCTCGAAACCACCATCACTCAACCGTTCGTTCAGTCTCCTCTAACGACATACTTCAGACGGTGCTCTTGGGCTCCCGATGGGCAGCATATCGCAGCGGCGAATGCGGTCAATGGGCCGGTCAGTGCGATTGCTATCATCGAGCGCGGTACCTGGGGTGGTGACACGACGCTCATTGGACATGAAGGACCGGTGGAAGTCTGCGCCTTCTCTCCGAGGTTGTATGGTTCGGACCCAAATCCAAGGCCTCTGCCGGAAGGTCATGTAGCGCCTCATACGACTGTCATTGCATGTGGGGGCGCAGACAAGTGCCTTAGTATCTGGACAACGAGCAATCCTCGGCCGCTCGTAGTGCAGCAGGATGTCGCAGCGAAACCCATATCAGATATTGCTTGGAGCCCGGATGGTCAAACGCTGTTCGCAACCGCCCTGGACGGGACGATTCTGACCATCATGTTCGAGGTGGGAGAGCTGGGTTACACTCGACCTATTGAAGAAAATGATAGGTCCCTCACCAAGTTCGGGACTTCGAGAAAAGGCCTTGGTTTCCCGGAGACGACTGATGCGCTATTGCTCGAAGAGATGAGCAAAGCTGGTGAGCTGAAAGGCGTCGAGGGCCGGATGGGCGCTTTGATGGGCGACCTGCACTCTTCGCAGCCGGCAGCAGCAGAAAAGACCACCGGAGCGCCCAATGGTACCAATGCCGAGGAACCTCTTACAAATGGTGCGACCGAGACGGGCTTCCCTGGCCACGCCTCGGCAAAGGCACAAGACGACCAAAACCAGGCGAAACTTGAACGACTGAAGAATCGAGTTGAGATCACTAAGGAGGGGAAGAAGAGGATTCGGCCACTTTTGGTGTCCGGCGCTGGTGGAACAGAATCGTCGTTGCCACAGACCAAACTTGTCAGTGCCAGCGCCAGTGTGCAGCAAGCAAAAGATGCGCCCCAAGCAGTGCTTGACCTCTCCAAGCCGTTTGACGGCCTTCCAAAGGGCGGCCTGCCTGCGTTGCTGCTGGGCAACAAACGTAAGTATGCTGAGATTGAGGGAGAAGAGCCCGGCGCAGCGGAGAAGCGAGTCACAGCTGCAAGTCAACGGGCAGCCGCACCTATCGTCGTTAATGGCGCCGACGGGCTGCTCCCTGCGCAGCCGCTACCAATGGTCAACATTCAGCAAACCACCCCAGATTTCATCCGACCAGCAGTCGTCAACCCAGCAACGAGTGTTGCCCAACTACGACTTGCCGTCCCCAAGGTCCGCGCGCAAATTATACAAGGTATCGATTCTAGTGGCAAACCCGCTGACGTGTCGGGCGACGCCACAAGCAAGTCCCGTGCTGAATTCGTCCTTGAAGTAAAGAACCCTTCTCCTCAGTCACTGACTCCCAGAGCTCAAGATCGGGAGCCATGTCGGATCACATTGACGCGCAAGGATCAGCCACTCTGGCTGGACTTTCTACCTCGACCCGTCCTACTGGCTACAGGGACTCGGACGTTCTGGGCAGTAGGGGACGAGACAGGCTCAATCTACATGTGGACACCGCACGGTCGAAGGCTCAACAGCGCTATAGTCATGGAAGCACAGCCCGTCATCTTGGCATCATATGAATCGTGGCTGATGTGTATCACGGCCGTGGGGATGTGCTATGTGTGGAACGTCCAGAGCATGTCAGCACCACATCCTCCAGTTTCGCTAGCACCTGTACTTGACGCTGCGATTCATTCGCTCGCTGCTCACCCAACAGGTGCTCCAGCAATTACACAAGCTCGACTGAACTCTGAAGGCCGGATCATCGTGAGCTTATCCAACGGTGACGGCTACGCGTACTCACCGCAGATGTACTGCTGGCAGCGACTTTCTGAAGTGTGGTGGGCGGTGGGCAGCCAGTATTGGAACACGACAGATTCATCAGTGGGCAACGTCCAGTCCGCCAAGGCACAATCTGGTTCGGACAAGTCGGTCGACGTCTCGTCTGGGATTGTGCCGTGGCTGGAAAGAAACACGACCTCAGAAACACTGTTACGGGGCCGGGCTTACTTCTTGCAGCGACTGGTCAAGGTTCTATTGTCACGCGAAGGGTTCGAGACCTTCGAGTCCGGTGTTTCCATAGCGCATCTCGAGAACCGCATGGCTGCGGCTTTGATGCTGGGGGCAAAGGATGAGTTCAGGATCTACCTGCTCATGTACGCAAAACGTCTAGGAGCAGAAGGACTGAGGCTCAAAGTCGAAGAACTCCTCCGCACGCTCATCGGCGGCATCCTTGACCAGTCTGATCAGCTCGATGGCGAAACCAATGCAGCCACGGCGAACGCTATCGAGGGGCGCAATTGGCGGGAAGATGCGAAGATGATCTGTGGGTGGCCTCGAGAAGAGCTGCTCAAAGACGTTGTCTTGCTTCTTGGTGAGTTTTGTCTCAGTCTTGTGAGTTTGACGCTGCTAACGATCGATCAGGGAAACATCGAGATTTACAGCGAATCACCGTGCCATATGCCAAGATGTTGCGCGTCCTCGACGACGTTCCCGGGGGGCAGGATGAGATGGCTTTGTAAAGATCACACAATAGGTGGCACGATCGAACGACGTGAACTTGGGCTTGCATAGCATGGCAGTGGCTCGGCAAGGAGCGCGTACCGGAGGCGATTTCAACCTCACGGTGAGGTACACCTCAGTTTTGGTGCACTTGAATCTACTTCACTTCAGAAGTTACAGCGTTGCGCCTCGAAGTCTTCCTTCAATCGTGTCTGAATTATTGTCGGCCATAATGCCACCTCCTTTCTGCACGACGCCGCCTGGCCAGCGCGTACAGTCCATCAGCTTATCGTCGGCCGCGACCGCTTCGTCCTCCTCCTCCACCTCCAGTACAACAATTGACTGCACGCCACCTAGCCTTGTACGAGCGGCTACACCTGAATCCTTCACTGTTCCAAGTCCCGACTCCTCTCCTCGGACTGTGCAACGCTACACTGAGAAGACGAAACAAGATGGCCTGCCTCACAGATCTGTCTACTCTCTATTCCGCCGCCGCCGCACCCAAGGCATCTTCCGCTGGCTCCTCGTCCTCGTCGCTTTGTGGTTGTCACTTCAGCTCATTCTTCACCTTTACGCCAATCGTGGCCCCAATACTACGCTTGGCTCGCAATGGCACTCGGAGATACGGCGACTTCATTTGATGAGGCAGAAGACACATAACCCGGTCGAATGGCTCAGAGAGAACTCCTTTCCCAATGACGTTAAGGCAAACCGTCCAAAGGCAGCCCTGATAAGCCTGGTGAGGAACGAAGAGCTGGATGGTATCTTGCAGAGCATGCGGCAATTGGAATTCCACTGGAACCAGCAGTACAACTATCCATGGATATTTTTCAACGAGAAGCCTTTTTCCGAGGAGTTCAAGGTATGCCAGGCTGGGTAGCACAGCGCCACTGTAAAACACCACGAAATAAACTGACCGTCTCCATGGACAGGCTGCAACGTCAAACGCGACCTGTGCCCGCACCGAATACCACCTCGTCCCACGGTCTCACTGGACCACGCCACCGCACATCAACCAAACGCCCTACTACAACTCCCTCGACTACCTCTCCCTCACTGGAGTCGGTAAAGGTCACCTCCTGTCCTACCACGCCATGATCCGCTGGCAATCCGGCCTGTTCTACCTCCACCCGGCACTCGAGAAGTATGACTATTACTGGCGAGTCGAACCGGACGTCCACTTCTTCTGCGACATTCCCTACGATCCATTCCGATTCATGCACGCAAATGAGATGGTGTACGGCTTCAACATGGCGATCCTGGATGACGCGAGATCATTTGCATCGCTGTGGTCAACCACACAAGATTTCATCGTCCGATACCCTCACCTGCTCCATCCTGATGCGAATCTTGACTGGCTGGTCGATCCCGCGACCGGGTGGAACTACAACAACTGCCAGTTCTTCAGCAACTTCGAGATCGGCTCTCTTGACTTCTTCCGCAACAACGAGGGCAGTCGACTCTACTTTGACTGGTTGGACCAGAATGGAGGGTTCTACTATTCTAGGTGGGGAGACGCCCCCGTGCATACCCTCATGGTGAGTATGTTCACTGCGCCGGAGAAGGTATGGTGGTTTCGGGACGTGGGCTATCAGCATGACATCGCGAGACATTGTCCTCCGGCGGGGAATCCCTTCGAAGGTATACGAGTAGGCAACGGCGGCGATGGGGGTGGGCGAGTGGCTTTGCGTGAGCGGAGTGCGGCGCAGGGGCACACGACCAGTAACCACGAGCTGGGATGGGCTGATGGCCGGTGCACCTGCGAGCCTACCTCTCTGGACGAGAACTTCTACAAGCTTGTTCCTATGGAGAGCCCGCAGATGAAGCCATCTGATACGTGCATCCGCTTGTGGCTCGGCGGAGAGTGGTTGAAGAAAAAAGAGGGATGGAGTCAGGATGCTGAGAGAGTGTTGGGGGGAGACGGGTATGGCGGGTACCTGATGGATGGGATGTAAGCTATGGCGTGGACAAGGTTCAGCTGTTTTGACGCAACGACAGGTCAATGGTGGTGGTTCGATGTTATGAAGAAGATCATACAAGAATATTCCAGTTGTTGAGTTAAACTTGCGCCACAACGACCTCGACTCGAGCAACTCATAATCTCCATAACATGCAAAACAAGGCAGTCCACAGCGCCCATCGACAACATCTCACGTAACCTGAGCTCTTGATCAGCTGCAAAGTATACACCCGATTACAGCCGCCCACGTGGTTTTGGGCATTTGACTCCCGCTGATTTGTGGGTCAAGCTGCAATCTTGCCGTCCTCCTGCTGTTCCTCCCTGATCCTCTGCTGCACTGAGCTCGCCCGACCGACCGATGGCATCACTCGCGGCAGGGCGAATCGCAGGGATGTTCAAATCGACAATTAATTTCCCAGCGCTTCATCGACGCGAGCCGGAGCGCGACACTACGTCATGGCACCGCCGCCCGGGAAATCATCTCCGAGAACCAACGGCCTCGACGGCACGAACTCAAGCCTGAGATGTGACTGTATGCAATTTATGGCTTCTCGACACAGCTGACCGGGCTGCTCTTCGCTTTCTACATTCACCCGCCCCGCAATCGTCTGCGTGCATCTTTGAGCAAGCACGCAATTGATCAGCGTTTAAGCAGGAAGATAGAGAGCGGGAGCCAATCGACTTCGGGTGGCGACCTTTCTCATCAATCCCCCCCAAAGTCGGTATTGAGATTAGCACAACTCTCGGTGTGCTGCGCATTGATCTCTGGCTGAGATCCCCCTCCTTCACAAGTCTATTCCGAGAGGCATGTCGTCCATCCTCAGCTGAGAACATCTTCCTGTGAGAGCTGTGGGATAGGCATATCGCCCCCACACACAGACACACATACATCCGCTCAGACATTACTATTGCGAGCCACAATGGCCGACCCCGAGCGACAACCTCTAATTCGAAGCACGCCAAACACGCCACTGACGCCCCTCCTGCCTTCAGACCGGCGCTTCATCACGACGCTCCAGCGTTCCGAGGACTTCATCGCCTGCCACGTGCAGAAGATCCACGGCGCGGACTCCTGGGTCTGGGGTCTGCGGCACAATCTACAGCGCTTCCTGTCTTCCAAATGGGGCCACTACTTTGTGATTGTCTTGGTCGCGGCCGACATTTCCTGCATCTTCGCGGATTTCCTAGTCAGCTTGCACATGTGCGAGCACGGCGGGGACACGGGGTTTGATTTGTATGCGTGGCGCCAGGTGAATCAAGTGCTGGGATACATGAGTCTGGTATTTTCCTGTTTATTTGTAAGTTCTCCTGGTGTTCCGTCGAGTTGGTGTTTACTCCACATGATGCGGATTAGCCAACCTCCTCCTCTTCCGGCCGAGTCAGTGAATATTGCACGAGGCTGGATATATTCGAGGAATCTGAGATATCTGTCCAAGAAATGTCATGACTAGAACGCTAACTTGATCGTCATGACCCACAGATGGCCGAACTGCTAGGTAGTGTCTTTGCTTTTGGATTCCAGTAAGTGGTCTTTCCATTTCCATCCTTGTTTGCACCGTTACAACGGGACACAACACCCTCCCGTCAACCACATACATATACACACTATACACGTATACACGTACGGGCATATATCTAACGCATCGCCCCTCCCCCAAAGCTACTTCGCCACCCCCTTCCACGCATTCGACGCCCTCGTCATCATCGCTGCCTTCGCCTTCGCCATCGACCTCGTCCTGCGCGCCGGCCCGCTCGAAGAAGCCGGCTCCATCGTCGTCGTGCTCCGCCTGTGGCGCATCTTCAAGATCATCGAGGAATTCTCGTCCGGCGCCGAAGAAGACCAGCTGGCCGAATTGCAGGAGCGGATCGAGACGTTGGAGAAGCAAAAGGACGACGCCCTCAAGGAGAACGAACAATTGCAGATGCAGTTGCGGGTGAGGTCGCAGGAAGGCAATGCCAACGGCGTTGGGAACGGGTTCGAGGGCGTGGATGGGTACGCTGACGGGCATGCCGCGCATAGGACCAGGACTGGGACTGGGACTGGGACCGCGACTGCGACTGGGACCGTGCCTAGTAGGGAGGCGGATGGGGAGGCGAGATGAAACGTCAGGACATCGACTTAATATTAGGACTATTGAGGTTTGGAGTATGAGTATGTAACAACGGTTCCGTGGCTGCCAGCCCGGTCAGGTTGGCGGCGTGTGTGTGTGTGTGTATGTCTCCTTGATGGCCGTATGTATGCCGTCACGGGTGTGGACTTGGGTTGATGCACCTTCGCCACAAAGAGGTCGACTATGTATAAAAAGGGTATTTACTTCGACATGTGTATGATATTGACCAGCATTGAGACACGCGTGGGCACTCGATACGGCTGTATTACGGGGCGCGACACACAAACGTCTTCTGACAGAGAAGATGGTATCATTCTGAGGCATAAAGTATCTGTATCTGTAGCTCGCACAATCCCAAGGATATCTCACCCGCGACCACCGCGTATCAGGACCTAGCCCGATCACACTGCTCAATGAACCTGTAAATACCTTGTAGTCCTTCATACCCACCGCCTTCCGCAGCCGAGGGCTCGGTATACCTCTCCCGCACTGGTGCCTGGGGCTGGAAGAAGTATGTGACAGGATCATCCGTCTCCAGCAAGTCACTCTCGTGCAGGGACGAGTATCCTGACGGGGACGACATCCATGGATTCTTGTCCAAAGCTGGATCAGTCAGGTCGAACGCATCAAAGGACTGGCTGGTTGCCGAGAGATGTGAGAATCCCGCAGATGCATGTCGAGGAGGTGTAAGCATCTCATGCCACTCCACCTGATCCTTCTTGACGCGCTTGGTTGGCCTCTCGCACACTTCGAGACCTGCCTCACTGCCAGGCTTGCTCGGAGCGAAGGGGAAGAGCAAAGCCATCTCGGTGCCGTTGCGGGTGTCAAAGTCCTCGTCTTGGCCAACTATGCCGCGCTTGATGTTTAATTCGCGGCAGAGACCTTCCACCGTATCTGCGTCGCAGCCGGGGAAGCAGACGCGGAGAGTCACACTGTCATGTAGCGAGATGGGGAGATCGCCGAGCGTGGATAGACGTTTGAGGTCATTCATGATGGCGGCAAGGTCTTTCAACGCTCGCGCAAAGTCCACCGACAGGTTGGACATGAGTGTGGTGTTGTTCAAGGTATCTTGGTGCATCTCATAGTCGCAGGAAGAGGCAGATGGGGAGCGAGGGACACTGGCCAATGGACCAATGGCGGTGATTGTGGGAGAGACCTTGAAGTCGATGAACGAACCAGGGCCTGTCCTGGAGGCCATGTCCATTGTGTGTCTGGCTTCCTCCTGCAGGCTGGACACCGATCGGAATCTCTTCTCTCCCGTGCGAGGGTCTGAGCCATCGAAACGGGCCTTCTGACCAGACAGCCAGAAGGCTCGTACGGCTTGCGACACATTGGTGACCACCTGTGCGGGTGCAGCAGGCGTATGGGAGAAATATCTGGCTCCACCAACTCGGCCGCCTCCTAGGCCGTATCCACCGGCATGACGAGCCAAAGTCCCCCCAGTGAGACTGGGTCGCAGAGTGGATGCAAAGGGAGCACGCCCGCTGGACTGATTGACGCGCGAGGCCGTCTGTGAGGAAGGATACGACGCCCGAGTCTGGCGGGATTTGGGGCCAGATTGGGACGAGTAGTGTCTGATGGTATCGGCCGCATGGACCTTCGTGCTGTAGAGGCGACCTTGAGCTTGGCGGATCTGACCAAGTCGGTTCGGGGGTTGACGCTGAGAGACACGGACGTAGGCTGGCTGGGCGTCGGCCTCGAGCGGTTTGGCTGCCTGCGGGATCTTGTCACGGATGAATTTGCCCGTCTTCTCGACCGCAAATCTGGCCAGCCTCATGGCCTTCTGGGCCAAGAGGTGACCTCCTGACGACGCCATGATGTTTACCCACCAGGCGGAGGAGAGAGTTGTGGACTCGAAGTGAGAGGGAAGTGATGTTGGGAAGAGGTTGATATGAGTAGCAAGTAGGTCTTCGCCACCAGGGTCCTCGCTGTGAGTGGCCAGCCATTTTCCCCGCAAACACTCATTTCTCCGATTCCGCTCCGAGTCACGTGAAAATCCTTGACTCGACGGCTAAAGCGGGTACACTAGCAGCCCGCTTTGAACCTGATTTGGCAATCGATGCCGCCGCTTTGGGTGCGCTTCTTTGTCCATGTTTTGACATTGTCATGGAACGACATTCCTTTTGCCCTGATCGCGTGTACTGTGGCGGAACGACCCCAACATGGACAAGTGCTATCGACAGCTGATTCAAGCGACCGTTGTTCTTGAAAGGGAAGGTCCAGTGGGACAGACGATATCTAAATATTGTTTTAGTTTCTCCTTGCAAGCCGGGCTGGTCAGCACCTCGATCGCTTCGTCCAGTTGGTCACTGGACGAAGCAGACAGCTTGATACCCGAAGCACCCTCATTCGAGAGGTCGCCATCTTGTTCCTTCCATCTGGTGGCCGCCTGGAACTTCGGTGATCCTTCCAACTCCTCCTGCAAAATCCTGCGGCGATCATTATCGGGCAAGAAGACGTCCCACCACGCCCAGCGGTTAGCCCTCGGCGATACCGGAAGCATAGAGATGAAAATCAGAGCTGCTCGCCGCCCGCTAAAATGCAGAGGCTCCATGAATTGAAGGTTTGCGGGTTGCTTCTCCAGGATACGCTCTGGGCCTATCAACAGATGTAGTCCCTTCTTCAGTAGCCACGAAAGTGAGTAGACGGCGAGCCACAGCAAGGTTGACCACCTCTCATTTCCTTGTGCATTAGTGGTCGCAGCGAGGAGTGCCGCCTGTGTCGTGAGAACCACGGCAAGTACACGGCACAGCCATTTGAGAAACAAGGGCCGACTTGTCCGAACCGGAATGTTTGTCAGCGCGTGGAGTTGGCTGGAGTATCCGCAGACAATCGAGATCTTGGACGAATTCCAGCTTTCCGCGATCACATGGATATCTAACGCGGCATCACGTCTAGCGGTTTCGACTCGGTCGGATTCTGCTGTAGTCAGGTTCCCGAAGATGGGCTCGACGCAAAGCCGCAGCGCAACGGTGAGAACGTGGGAGAGGGCGATGCATATGAGAAGGGCCGGTCCGATCTCTAGACCCCTGCGCGCGACGAGGATGGCCAACCCAACAGCAAAGACAATCTTCGAAACAGACAACGAGGCTGATGCCCACCATTCGGAATCACTTAGTCTAGATAAGTCGCTTGCTGGGTCGGCCGGTGTGACTAGGCTTACGTAGACGACGGTTTCGCGGAGTGCAGTGGCCGTCTTGGGATTGACGCTCAACGGGCTGTGACGACCGATGATGCCCGCGACCTCGATGATGGCTGCATTCGCAAGATCAAAGACATTACCGTGGCGGATGCTTGCCACAGCGAGGGGTCTTCCAGTGCGGCTTTGTCCAAATAGTCCCAAGTAGTCCATATTCCAAAGTTGGCGAAAATCGTGGATGCTTCCAGTCATGGATGCAGAAACAGAATGGCGAGTCATCACCGCCGACACCAGTCCATGCCGTACCCGCAAGTTCTCTGCGAAGAGAGGTATGGGGGCCCATGGCGCAATGAGACGAAGGAGTTTCATAAAGTCGCCGGCCATGATATTGTTGTACGCCAACATAGTGAAGAGTGATATTCAAGAACATCAAAGGGTCGGGCCCAGGCAATGTGCGTAGGCTAAAAGCAGCGATGTGCCAAGCTGCGCGCTGGTGTCACGTGCCGTGCCCAGTCCCACTGTCGTCACCAACCGAAGCTCATCGTCTCTGAATCACTGATTGGCCTCATTGTGACACTCAATTCCCGCGATCTGCCCAGACCATGTTTGACTACGAACATACACAGTCGGGCTTGCTGCCGGCGACTGCTCACAGCCGGTTCGATTCCATCAGATCTTCTTGGCGCATTGCTTCGTCGAAGAATGCTTCCAACTCAAGCGACGACCTCCACACGTCCCCTTGACCACTATGGTATATTGGTAACCATGTCTCCTTGGTGTGTGCAGACTGTGTAGCATACGACTAGCGCTCGGTGCCTGCGGTCAAAGACAGTACTGTTCGACCATGGTGGGCGTGCCTCGGTCGAAAGGGTGCATTGCTTGTCGGGCTCGACACAAAGGCGTATGTTTGCTCGAGGATGGATTCATTTCGTAGGCCGGATGCGCTGCGCAAACTAACTCAATGATAGTGCGATGCCCAAAAGCCGTCATGTAGTCAATGCGTCCGGAGGGGCGTTCGATGTCCGGGTTATGCCAAAGATCTGAAGATGGTAATTGTACAGCCTGGAAAGAAGGATTACACCATGGTGGTAAGGACGAGCTCGCCGGGCTTCGCGGCGCCCACAATAAGCCGACACGCAACGACAGACCCGAGCTTTGTGGGACTCCTCCCATCACTACTCAGCACGGCATTCCGCTCCCAAACATACGAGTACTTCATCACCAACTACGCACCACGTTCAACCGAGACATGGGCGAGGCTACCAACAGATCTTTCTATCATTCCTTCGACTTCATGGCTGCAAGCTGCCATTGCCGTCGCTCCAACAGACCCTGTGCTCAACAACGGTCTTACCGCCATGGCACTTGCTCAAGTTGGGCGAATGACAAGGCGGCCGGACCTGCTCTTGGGTGGCCACAAACTGTACACCGAGGCGCTGAGTGGTCTCAATCGGCGGCTAAAGGGCGGAGACGAATGCTTTACCGACACAACACTCGCTGCAGTTACGACTCTCAGTGTATACGAGGCTCGTGGTGACTTCGCTACTCATGGCACCCTGTGGATAACTAACACAAGCTCTAGATGCAAGAAGGCTCCAGCGAGGGACGTTCGAAGAGCTGGGCATCGCACGTGAAGGGTGCCTCAGCACTTATCCAACTGCGCGGAAAGGCGAATTTCTCCACGCCATTGAGCAACAGAGTCTTCCTCGGTGCGCAGATAGCCGAGGTAAGCCCCGAAGACCCAGTCCTGTCGCTTTCTAGCTGATGGTTCTAGTTGATCGCGGCAGTCGGGAGTCGGAAACGTTCAGTCAATGCATCGCTGTGGTCGCAGGCCTGTCAGAGCCCGACGACAGATCCCAGCTTCGACTCACCCCTGCGTCTTTTCGAGATTTTACATATTCTACCCGAGATCATGGGGGACGCTGAGAGCATATCCCCTGCTTCGCATCCCGAAGAGCAAATCGCGGACAAGGTTGGCGAAAGCTTGGTGTCTGTCATGCAAAAATGCCATGATTTCGAGACGAGATTGACGGAGTGGTACAACGACCTCGAAGCACGATATCAAAGCGATCACCGAGGCATTCGACCTCAACCTAAAGCACCATTAGTTTTCGACGTGGCTGATACCACACTCCGAGCGAAGCTCTACTGGTTCCAGCCATCGACTCTTTACTCGGGGCTGCCTCGCGACAGTGCAGCCCGGATCTTCCCCTTTTTTATTTGCTTTCCGAACCCAGACATCGCGTTCCAGATTGTGCTGCACTGGACGGGCCTTCTGCTCATGCACATCACAATGCACTTGATGTATTCCCGATTCGGCCAGTCCAGGCCGAAGACAGCGTTGCCAGATATCGGGAGATTCGCATTCACGAATGATGCCCGCTCTCTAGCCCTACTCATTGCCCAATCTCTTGAATATTTCGTCCATCCAGACATGGGTCTACTCGGGACGAATCTTATTGGGTTCCCGTTATCTTCAGCACAGAGATATTTCCAACACGCAGGCGCCAGGGAACAATTATGGTTCGATGTAATATTTCAGCGCATAGGGGAGATGAAGTCGGGGCTCAGGGGATTCTTGGACGACATGGCCAGGCGACGTACAGTCAAACTGGTCAGCCCGTGGCATCCCACATCTCTTAGGTAGGCTTTGAACTTAGTGAACAGTGATAGCAATGCGTTCACAGATCCATCGAGAGCTGCAAGCCCTTCTTAAGCGGGCCGATCAGATTGGTTGTGAGAACCGCATATATCCGTCGTTTGCATGGGGAGGCGGGAAAGATAACGGCGTCCTGGGTGCCCATTTCAACGTTCCGTCTTTCCTACCCGACCACGCAGGTTATTGTAAAAGGTGATAGTGATCGAATAGCATGCCGTACCGCTCAAGTCGAGCCATGCGGCATCTACTGCGAGGCCTATGTGGGGACGCAACTGTAACATCGGATCGACAATAGCAATGACTCAACGGACCTCGGGGCGCCTTGACTCACACTTTGTTCTACAAATTGAGGCTGCTATTGCTACAGCACCGGTCCCTCTGCTATCTGTTGCTTTTCCTGCTAACCCTACGGGAATCATGGCTACGGACGCATTCGCTTCCGACTTCCATGTGCCTATACCTCATCCGACACTGAAGATTGCCCTGACACCTCCTCGCGAGTCCGATCGCGACGCCTCGATTGCCGGCCTCAACCATCCGAAAGTGTACATGAACTTGAATGGCCCGCCGTATCCATATACTGACAAAGACTGGGCGGAGTGGTATGCCACCATCGGCGGCGCCTCGAGCCACAACCTGGCCGAGTTGAAAGCAATTCAAGGGCAGCGGCCATCTGGTTTGGCGTCACAGGACTGGTCGAAGAACAGGTGGCTCGGCCAAAGACTGTGGACGTCAACGATCCGAGACGTCGTCGACGGGAGGTTCATCGGCACCATTGCCGTTCAGAGGGAGACGTTCATGTACATTCTCGACGCGAAGGAGAGGCAAAGAAGGACAGATGAAAACGACAATTTCGAGCCTGGCGACCCAAGAATAATCTGGATGATCGGGTGTGAGTTTGTTCGTGCATCTAACTACAAGCCATGCCCCCATGGAGGGACGGAGACGCTCCAACGAGTCAGGGTACATTATCCGCTGACAGAGAATAGTTTGGCTGGTTCCAGAATATCACGGCCGTGGGATCATGCCGGCTGCTCTCAGATCCCTGATGGCTGAAATTGTCGTTCCGTACATGAATGCGCATACGGTGCATGGGGGTTATTTCGAACACAACCTTGCCAGCAGAAGGGTGTTTGAGAAGAACGGATTCTCTTTTGAGACCTTTGTTCCAGACGCTTTTACCGTAAATCCGGCGAAGCTCAATGGCTTGGAAGGCAAGAAAGTCGGGATTGGGCTGATGAAGTGGGAGCGCAATTCGGCGGGCTGAGGAATAACCGCAGCGCACATCACTCGGCGCTGGGAGGCAGCACAGCGAGGATTGAAAACGCCATTCTGCGGATGCGTGCCACGTACTGTGTTCCGTCTCGTCGATCAAGAACAGGCGTACGGAGTACACAGTACTGACTATCAGTCCTAGCCGGGTGATACAGATGTCATGCAACGAGGACGGCACGCCGAAGACCACCATGCATCTTGCGCGTGTTATTACGAGGGTTCCAGTTTCATAGCTGAATCAGATACAGGTACGTTACAACAGCAAACATGCCCGTCACAGATGCGGCCTACTCGAGTAGCAGAAGAGCGGTTTTTGCCCGTCGGAAGTGGAGTGACATCTGTCGTGCCGAGCGCAGATCTGGGCCGTCTGGACTGGTCCCTGTCGGCGGCTTCCGAGCCACTGGGTCCTTAACAAGAAGACCTAACGAGGCCTAAACTGAGCCGATTAGGGACCGGAGGTTTCTGCCCCGGCTACTGTAGCCTCCTCCGGTTTTCGTGGCTTGACGGGTCAGCTGTTTGCTCTGCAACAATTCCCGCCCTGGGCTCAGTCATCACCAGACGCGGCACGAAGTCTCTTCCAGCCCTGTGCTGTGTCAGCTGCCGTGTCGGACAGAGGGTCTTGGGGAGCGGAGCGGAATCCAGCACTTGTCAGAATGGCGCCTCACGCCCCGTGGCAGCATGGATGTCTTTAAAAGCTGCAAAGGGCGACCGAGTGAACATGGCCTCGTTATTCTACCAATCCAAACAAACCACAAGACCTGAAGTCACACAAGGCGCAAATCATCTGAAGCACATACCACCCACACCCACCATTCAAATGGTCCAGTACGATCCATTTGTTGGCATGTTTCCCGCTGCTGCCCTTCCCTCCCGCGGAAGAGACGCCGCTCAGCACAGCAACAACACCGAGCACAATCCAGGACACAGTATGTTCTCAGCTCCCCACCACTGCATCTCACGGCCCTTGCTAACACTGGAGGAAGACGAATTCGTCCACCACAGACTGAGAAGACTGTCGACGAGCGGTGGCGACCATCCTCGGTGCTGTTCCAAATGCCACTTGAGGCTACCATCGCAAGAACACCGTCCAGCCTTGGTCCGCCATGACAGCACTTCAAGCGAAGAAGAATGGGACGGCTTCTGTCCGGACATCACCATGCCCAAGGACCTCTACCATTCAGCTTCCCATCGTTCGATTCAAAGACGGCATTCCAGCCTCTGCCCCACAAATGTCGCCAACCACGAACGCAAGGGCAGTGGCAGCTCACCTGTGCAGATGCTGGTGAAAGAACAGGCCGCCGATGCTCTCGCCCATCACCACAACAAGTGTAACTGCGAGACCATCATTCCGCGGGAAAACCTGGACGAGAGATACGGACTAGTCGAGGAGCCCGAGGAGATCAGGCGGAAAAGGGACAGCTTGGATCAAGAGGCTGCTGGACGACTGGCGGACATTATGCACCAGGAACTGGTGTCGGACATGGAAGCACGGCAGTGCATGCTCTGACAGGCGGGCTTTGATCGGTCATGTAATTCTTCAAAGCCTCGTCGGCGTTAATGGGTTCAAAACAGTGATTGGGGTGTTTGGGCAATACCCAGACGGAGGTACGGAAGGAAAAGATTGATCCTGGGACGGGGTCCTGTACAGTTCTAACAGTATGCGAGTTACGAAGTATGACGCATGACGCATTGACACCCGTTCACAGCGAATCAGTCTTGCCCTTCGTGGTCCCTGTGCAAGCCCCGAAGAAACAGGAGGGCGAAAGTGTGGAGGGAGTCTTGTCTCGACTCACCGAGTACTACGTAGTGCTCTGCTGTACATCCTTCCACGCACCCGTCCGGGCATTCGACGGCCATAAACAGAACAGATACTTCCTGGCACAACGTCTACGTCTGCACTACTCCGTACTGGAACCACGACCATGCCCACTTCCGGCCATAACAGCCTTGGGAAGCCCAGAGTGACGAGGCTCCAATGTAGGGGGCACATGCTGGCGGGCACAGCGGGGTGGCCCATAAGCCCGGGGTGGCGCCCCTAATGTGCAGCGTGCGGGCGCCTAGGCACCACACTGGGTGCTAAGGCAAAGCCGCAACCGCTAACGTAAGGCCCACACCGATCTGGAACCTACTGGGTAACTCGTACTGGAGGACAGCACAAACCACAGTACTCGTACGTATCTATGGTTACTACCTATCACGCCACCCGTCAACCGCATCTGTACGAGAACCAGCACAGACTGGAGCTGTGGCATCCGCTCCGCTTTCTCTCACGACGTCCATCCCTGCCTAGCGAGCGCAAGGCTACGAACCGGAACTTCCATCACCGACTTTACCTACCTGTAGCCACAAGTCCCAACGCCGTAACGAGTGCACAGTAAGTTTGCAAACAGATCCGAGCTCGCCTGAGAACGGCCCACTCAACGATGCAGGTTCGTGACTTCATTCATTTATTTGGGTCCTCAAAGGGGACACCTAGGACCCGGGTGATGGAGTCGAATGCACGCACGTGTGCTGCTCGTTCCTCGATCGAGATGGATGGGCTTGGCCGCCTGGACCCTTCTGCTCATAATTACCCTCTTTTCTTTTCTGCATCACGCCATGCATGCTCTCTTCTGGATGTCACTCGTCGCGGAACAAGCTTTGCACTGCCTTGGATGGTGGCACGTCGGAAGACTATCATATGATACTTTCCGCCGATGCAGCACAGTGACAGTCACAGACGCGAGAGCCTACAGCGTACGCGCACAGTTGAGATGAGGGTTTGTTGCCTATCCTTCCCATTACATCTGCGCCGCTCAGGACAAGCCACTCACGGGGTTCGCATTGCACATTTCGCTCACTGGGCGGGGGCGGGCAGAGCGGGCAGGGCGGACTAGACTGGGTCGGCGTCCTCCTCACCCACATGGTCGATCTGCCGCACCAAATGCAACTCGGTGGCTCTTCCCGCCAGCCTGCCAGCCAGCTGAGGGGGTTGTACGGAGTACCGGTATCACCGTAGGTAAGTACCTTGGCTTTAGTTTTGGAGAGGCACAAGGAAAGTACCGTGATCGGACTGTGCTCGGACGTCTCTCACACGCTCATGCACAGACAAAAGTATACAGTGTTGATATATAACCACGCCTGCCGATGTAGAGGTGAAGTCCATCCCTCTCAGAGAACGATACAAGTGTCACACATCTACCCATCAACACACACAACTGTATATCAAAGACATCTGGTCTGCTCTACTCTACGCCGGAACACAGGATCGGACTTGAACTTCCAACACTCACTCACCCTTTCGTATCTCCTCCCGTCTACATCCAGTATCTCGAGTGTTTCACTTAGAAGACCTCAAATACACCTCAGTTACAAAACACCACCATGACGGCACTCCCCTACGCTGTGCCCCCGAACTACGCCATCCGACTGGTCGAAGAACCTCTCTTCCCGGCCTCACAGGCCCCGGTCTCTGTCCAGGACCAACATCACCCGGTCCAACCACACCCGTCCCACCCGTCGCACTTTCAATTCCCACGCACGTCCCTCCACGCCGCGACACTGCACGCGCACTTCAAGGGGCCGCACGCGCCAGGGAGCGTGCGGGCGCCACGGTCCGCGACGGCGTGGTCCCCGCCGACCGACATCCGCGAAACGCTGGCGACCTACCACATCGAGATCGAGGTCGCCGGCGTCACGGACAAGGAGGCCATTGTCGTGCAGTGGCTCAGCCCGCACACGCTGCTCGTGCAGGGCGTGGCGTCCCGGCCCGCGAACATCGGCCTGACCGACCAGGACGAGGGGAAGAGAATCTGGGAAGGAAAGGAAGGGGAAGGATGGGCCACCGAGTCGGGACACGCAAAGGTACGTACATATTGTACGCAGTAATGTGCGCAGTGTGTACGATTCGTGCGATCTCTCTACACCATTCCCAGTCTGGGGAATCCTAGCCAGTCACCAAGGTTGGTGGTCTGCTAGTTTCTACTCCGACCAATTTCCTTCACAAAGTCACAGCTCAGCTGACACTTCTACTAACAGAAGCCCGAACCCACGGACGGTGGACCCCTAATGCGCACGCCCAGCCGCGAGACCGTCGAGGCCGAATACCTCGCCGACACGACGCCCACGATCCTGCTCTCGGAGCGGAAGATTGGTCCGTGGCGCCGCACCTTCACCCTGCCCGAGGATGTGGAGATGAGAGAGCTGAAAGCCCGCTTGGAGGGCGGGCTGTTGCGCATCGACCTGCCCAAGCGGAGTGTTGAAGATTTGGAGGCCATGAAAGGTGGGGGCGTCAGGATTGATGTCGAGTAGAATCGCATAGGAAGAATGGCGCGCGATTGGAACTGAGATACAGCTATTGCCTGAGATGAATGCAAAAGAGTATTACCCTAGCCGGAGCGAAACAAAGGGATAGAATAATTAACGTGGTCGGCCGAATTGGATGGGATAATTAAAGACCAACGACTATAGACTGAACGAGAAAGGTATCGTATGAGGAACCACACATACATGATATAGTACATTGTCTTGGATGGGTCTGGAACTGCAAAATAAACGGGCTATCGAAGGGATCGTTCTGAAGACGAGGACTCACACTCACACTGACACTCACACTTAGGAGCCCGGGTTAATGCGGACAACTGGCATCCAGCTTGGCGTCTTACAGCGTGACCTGCTTATGTACCGCAAATAGGCAAAGTATCAAGTATCCAGGTAGGTGAGTATACTCCGTATACTGTGTAACCAAGATCAAACGTCGGTGGCATTCGTTCATGAACCACACTGCCTTGTCCGTACGTTTCATTATTATATGTGCATATAGCGCTATTGAGATTCCCTTTCCTCGCTTCCTATCTTCCTCGCTATACCCTTCCCTCCCTTGTTCGGGCCAGAATGTTCAATATTCCTCCATTTCTATCCCAGGACAGTGTGTGCAGGACCGATGCGTCTTTGCAACAGTCCGTAGCACTCGCCAGCATGGCTGAAAAGGCGCATAAGCGAGCACACTGAACTTCAGGCGATAGATTCTCTTCCCACTCGCTTTCCTATTTGTCCCGAATTGTCAACAATATATTCATAGCAATATCCATAGCCATATCCATATCCATAGCTATATCCATATCCAAATTCATTCCGTTCCATTGGTGCACCCCAGTGCCCATCAGATTCGCCGAAAGACATCAACCGCCACGCAGCGGGCAAGAGCGACTCGCTGAAAACGCTGCATTTCCGCCCTCAACAAGGGGCTTAGATGAGTCAAAAGAAATCAAGGCAGGACAATCCAAAGCCTCGCTTTTTTTTTCGGCCACAGGCAAATCTTACACCGCCTGTACTTGCAAATTCACCATCTGTTTCAGCAAACTGCAATCCTCGCACCGGACCAGCTTCTCCAGCACTCTCACTCGCTCGGATAGTCTGTGGATTTCATTCTCCATGTGCCGCATCTCAACCTCGGTCTGATTCACGTAGTTCATCGCCTCGGTCAGCACATCGCTCTTGCGCACCTTTGCAGCAGGGAGCGCGTGGTTCGAAACCATGTCTTCGCGCTCGCCGTCCTCGCCGACCCGCGGCCCGTAGTGCGAATTCTGCAGAGTCGAGTGTAGTTGCGTGATCTTGGCGTTGAGGTTTTCGCGGTATTTGCGCTCGACTAGGGAGTGGGCTTGTTTGGCGCGTTGTTTGGCATCGGCTTTGGACGGCGCCGTAGACTTGGTGGTCGGTGGAGGCGCTTCCTCCTCTTCGTCGTTGTCTGACGACACCGCTGTGGCACTGGGGATGTGGATGGCTTTGTGACTGGCGCGGGTTGTACGGCGCATGTTCGTTGCGGCAGTGGTAGGGGCGGATCTCCTTGGTGGAAGGGGCACGACGTCGGGTGGGCTGTCGGCCGTCGTTGCCGTCGAGCTGGATGAGCGGCGGGTTGCTGAGGAGCGTGAGGTGGTAGCGGTGCTTGTCCGTGTACTTATGTTGGGTCGTTGGTGGAGCTCGACAGACATGCTGTCGGGAGTGAAATTCGTTTCGTTGAGCGAGTTGGCGTCTGTTATACACGGTACGGACGTGCACTCTTCGATGGGTGGCAGGGTGGTGAAATTCATGCACGGTGCATCTGGACCACAGCGTGAGGGTTGACAGCTGTCTACTTGTCCGGCGATCAGGGGACAGAGCTTCTCCGTCGAGTCTGCCCTTGATGCAATGGAGACAGCGATGGGATCCAGGTTGGTCATGGGCGGAGAGCTGTTGATCGAGTCCGAGGCTGGTAGTGTTGTCGTGAGATCGTTGTTCGTCATGTTGGAGTCAGGGTCAGCGCGTGAGCTTTGCAGGGTCGACTGATCCATGGGCGGGAGATTGCCCTCCATGTTGAGGAGCTGTGAGAAGGTGTATTGGCTGCTGGGGTACGTATCTCGTGAGGCTCTGCGTGGCCCAGAGGTCTGTTGATGGGAGGACGAGTTGATCAGGTTACCTGTTGGCCCGTGGCGATAGTTGGGCAGCCGCAGATACGCCAGACGATCTTGCTCTCTGTCCATGGCCGCAGAGTATTTCTGGTTGAGGGATTGGTGCGAGGTTATTTCCACGGTTGACGGCGTCAGCGGCGTGGTGGTAAAGTCCATCTCATGCCACCCGGTGTAATCTACAGAGTCGGGGTCGACGATTGAGAGCTGGGGATGTTGACCCTGAAATGCATGTTGGTTGTGGAAGTCATGAGAGCTTTCTGCTTGTCGGAATAAGTGCCGGTAAGGCATCGTTGCTACTGGCTCGTCGCTCCTCGCGCGGCTGCGCTTTGTGTTTGGAACGGCTGCTGGTATCGTGCCTGATTTCCGAAAGATTACCGCTTCAACACTCGACTCGGCCCACAAGACACCTTCTCGGAGGCCGCGTCCCAATGATGGTAGTGACGGTGACGCTTGGGGCAAAGCTCGTCAGGATCGTTCAGCGCTAACAGTTTCGAAGGATTCACAATTGCGGCGGGCGCAGTATCGAGGAAAGCTGAGGAGCAGAGTGTCAGGCCACGGTGACGATATGGAAGAGGGATTTCGGTGGACAGCGTGTGTACGAGTAGATGTAAGGAGACTGACGATGCTAGCTCGGTACAGAAAGTCCGGCGGGTCTCACCAAGCGGGTGACGCTGCACAGGCAAAGGGGAAAAGGTCGAGATGAGCGCTGCGTGAGTAAGACTCGAGCAGTCACACCACGCCGCGACGATCCCGTATCGCCAAGCTGCCAGTGGTATCGGAGGTGCCAATGAAGGTCGGTGAAAACTCGCTTAAGATCGCTAACGTTACTAGCGTTACGGCCGCCGGATCCAGGCCCATGCTCGGGCAGATCCAGGCCCTCAGGCACGAGACATTTGAGCGTGACTGTAATGACGTTTATGAGGCACCACAAGAGAGCGAAATAACGGCGTAAATACCCTCGACTTCTCCCCGCGTGGCCTGACACGTTTGACCATCCGATGTCCCACAGACTGATCGACGATCCGGTCGCTCGGGTTTCCGCCTCGCTAGATCCGGATCTGCCGCATTAACCTCGCGGAAACCGCCGTCACCGGCTCCAGACACCCAAACAGTCGCAGAACCTGTCTGCGCTGAATCAGCTGGTGACATTGTCACGCAACTCTGGTGTTTCCCATAGCAGAGCGATGCACTGAGCCACCGATGGATGGAATCGGACAGAACGAAGCACCAAAACATGGACACTGGATGTTCGAATAGTTAAAAGCTCATCATGAACGTCGTGTGAAGGTAGGAGATCACCCAACATCACAACTCAATCAAATCAGGAACATTACTAGAAGCAACTCTCTTTGGACATATCGATCCACTCTATCAAGCAACAAGCGTCTCCCCTCACTACTATACCCCGAACCAAAGCCTTCTCGACAGAATCGCAATCAACAAGCATCATCATGAACGCAGCTCGCCAAGTCATCTCCCGACGCTTTGTCAGCGGAATGGGTCCCAGGCTCACCACACCTGCCCGATATGCCTCAACGAGCGTCGAGCATCATGGCCTGTCACCACAGGATAAGAAATTAATGCGCAGTGTTTTCACTGCAGGAACACTGGCTGTCGCTGGAGGCGTGGCGTACGGTGTAAGTCTTTCCCAAGATACATACATGTCCCGAGCCGAGAAGTCCAAGACTAATCCACTCTCTCAGGCGGCCCGATCTGGAGGCCGGGTAGGCAACCGCTTCATGAAGCGGAATTCGACCCTCGACAGCTCCAAGTGGTTTGCAGAAGGCTCTGATACCAGCCGTTTCTTCGGCAGTAAACACTAGAATATCGGGCATGGGTATCATTGGCGTTCATCGGCTGGGGTCAGGCGTTTCAAGGGTATAGTCAAGGTTCAAGTGAAGATAAGCGTCGGCTAGGAATGCCACGAAGTATAAACAGAGCAACTGGTCGGAAAAGGCCGTTGCACGCGAGTAATTGTGTACGGATGAGTATGTATGGTCAATGAGATGACCATGACATTTCGATTCGGCTGTATATACATTTGAACATGGGTATCACAAGAAGGTCGTTAAAAGTTTCCACCAACTGTTTGCTCAAGCAATTCGCTTGATCATCAATCACTTTTCCCCGCCGTACAAACAAACCCAGCTAGAAAAGGTGACGGACCAGTCGAGAAGCCGCGCCAAGGAGAAACACGAAAGCTGAAAGATCGCTCGAGATTCAGCCCTACGAAGGGCTGGCCACCCGATTGGAGGTGTTCAAGAACGGGGTGAGGGGCCGAATCGCCCAGATGCCGTCGTCCTCTTCTGTGTCGTGTTTGGAATTCGCCGAAGCGAAGGTTGGACTCGTACACTGAGATATTTGGCCGTCACTATCGTTGTCCGTGAGGCTATCGTCGCTGTCCACAGAGGTATCCTCCTCACTCCAATCGTCCCCCTCGAAGCTGTCGTAGGAACAATCGCTTTCTTCGTCGCTGTCAAACTCGTCGACCTCGTTGCATTGGATGGCGGCTGCCAGCCTGATTTGGGTGATAGTTTCCAGTTGGATCCTGAGTGCCGCTCTGAACTCTTCAAACGACGGCACTTGATGTTCGACGTATGTCGCTGGTTTGTTCTCTGTCGTGACTGTCGAGACTGATGTGGATTGAGCCTGCGCAAGGACTTTGGTACGGTCATATACCGAGATATGACCCAATAGCCGTCGTAATCTGGGTTCCTCCCGACCAGACTCGGCCTTCAAATTCCAGTGCGACCTGAACAGTAATCTGGCAGCTGATTTCGTCGTCTCTGAAGGGGCTTCGGGCGTAGGGGCAAATGAGAGAGGTGCATGTGAGCGCAATGCCTCTTGTCGTTCCATGTTGAAGACTTGTGTTTTCGTGCTTGTGAGGCTTCGATTGCAGAGTACGGAGTACGCTTTGACAACAATCCGAGTTTATGGTCGTGAGAGAGAGAAACTGGGAAGTGTGGTAGAGAACGACGGGAAAGAGCCTCTTCTTGAACCCTCTGTCGGGTCAGGCTACAGCACGGGAACTTAGCAGATGTGCATTTGGCTCATGATCCGACACGAGGAGCATCGATCCACCCCAGACAGCCACGTTCATGCGGGTGGATCTGCAAAGAAGCCCTTCCTCGAAGCGGAAAAGTAAAGACGGGGCCGCGCCATTTCATTTGGCAATTGACTTCTGGGAGATGCGGCTGAAAGAACAAGACTCGCTGCGTGGTTTCGCAACAGGCGTGTCAAAGGCATGCCAAAGTGAGGGGCTTCTAAAGCACAAGCAGCACGACCAATGACAAGCGCATCTGGCAGCTGCCTTTTAGCCCGATTGGGGGCCACGCGAAGGCCCAAAGACTGGTCCAGTCGCCGCTAACCACGACTATCGAGAACAGGGGATGCAGAAAGGGGAAGGGCAGCTGTCACGGGAAACAGCCAGGGCCCTGGCGGTGACGGGTCGCCTGATAGGCGCAAGGTTGACGCGCAGGCCTCGAAAGAAGAAGCGAGGAAAGAAGAGGAAGAGAAGGAAAAAAGAAAGGGGATGATGTCCGGGGAGCTGTCAAAGCTGTTTCGGGCGCTGGCCAGACCCAGCAGCGTGGGCTCGGCCACGTCTTTTAGGCTGCCCTAAGCTGTTCTGGGGGGCACCCTCGCTAACCGAGGGTTTCGCCGATCGACAACCACGAGATTGGGACACCGCTTCCACGCCCCGTCTAACCAGCTTCGTCCTCCGCGTCAATCCACCTTTCCTTGACATCCTCGTTCAGCAAGCCATCTGGGCTCAAAAGGACGTCTCGCAGATTACCGAAACTTTGCCCAAAGCGTCAAGAGCGGGCACAGACTTTCACACCCGTAGGCCCGGCTTCTTCCGTCGATCGCAACATGGCCTTTCTGCCCACCCTGCCTAACCACGTGTTTGGCTTTTCACGCGTGCGCCACAGATCGCATCTATCGAAGGTAGTCGCTGGCCCCCTATCTGCCTGCTGCTCAACTTAAAACCTCCGACCGGAAGTGGAAACGTACCTCATTAGTCTGCGAGAGGCTTCGGCTGTCCCGCTACTCCATGCACTTGTCCTTGTTTTGGCAAGTACAACATGTTGACTCCAAGCTATCGCAATGTCATCGCACTAGCTTCACCAACCACGTTCCCACCTGCCAGGCTTCTGCCATGTGTCATTGTTCGCTTCTCGAAGGGCGAGAGGAATTATGTTTTGCAGATGTGGGGGCGTGCATGGAAAAACGCGGCCATGGTAGGGGGTACAACAGGGACAGCTCCGGCATTGAGTTTCAAAGGTCGAAGATCTTCACAACAATCGGAAAGTGGAAGCCTTGTCCCGGCGGTAAGACTTGCATTGGATCTGCATACCGCAGCAGAGTTGCTCAACTTCAAGGAGCAATGGACCAAATGACGTACACAAGATTCGATGCTCAGCAATAACCTTTGAATCCTCTACCAATCTTGACTGTGACGAGCGACAGCACTTCCGCAACTAGACAGCAAAGGGATGTCCTCTTGCTTGCGAATAGTGCGGCGCCAAGTCCTCAGGATGAGCAACTCTGCTTGAATATGCTTCTCGAACAAGAGCCTGGATTGCTCTGAAGGCTCTTCTGGGTGTCATGGTGGAGGCTCGGAATAGCCAGGTGCGTTGTGGGTGCTCCTGGTGTAAGAAAGCTAGAGAGAGAGTCATGTATGAATGAATTTGTGTGATTCGTATATAGAATCCGGCTATCTTGTGACCGATGCTATGTATCATTGTCAACGAATGGTCCGATTACATAGTAGTATCCCATCAGAACCATGCATGCACGAGCTATTTTGTGATTCGTGAACACGGGCGTCCTGGACTTTAGCCCGCCATACGTACTGGGTACAAGGTAGCAGGCGGATTAGGTGGGGCACGTGCAGAGTGAAGCTTTCGCAGCTACAGGAGAAAAGGCGCGATTCGAAGCAGAGCTACATTTATACTTATACTGGGTACTGTACATCAATTAGCATCTCTCATTGTTCGTAATTACCCCAGTGTGGATCGTGGTCTTTCAGCCAATTCAGGATACAACAAGGCGAATGAAAGGCAATGGACAACACTTTTTGTTTTCAAAATTTTTTATTTCAGGATGGAAGTCAACTATCTGAGGTAATTACCTAGGTGGGTGACCGCCACCATTGATGAGGGAGAACGCTGCTGATATGCATTTCTGGAATTTCTGTCCTTCTGTGAACCCATCTCAACGCCGGTCGCTATGGATGTTGGGTATTGTTTTGCTTGGCATGACTTCAGTTTCTCGTAAGGAACGTGTGAACAGTGTGTTGAGAGACGCAAAGGACCAAAAATCATGCTGAGTTTGCGGTCGGTCTGAGGTTGACGGGCGTTTACTCGGCGCTGATTTGGATTCTCCTCTGGGACTTGGCCTTCTGCAGCTTGGGAACCACAATCGACAGAATGCCGTTCTTCATGCTGGCCTTGACGTTGTCTTGGTCGACCGGGTTGGGGAAGGAGAAGCTGCGAGCGAATTCGCCGACACTGCGCTCGGAGACCCAGTAGGTGTGTTGTGGGTTATGCTTGCCGACGTCCTTGGACCCGGTGGTGGTGACTTCTGTGCTAGAGGAGGCTTGGGCGTTTTCGTCTTTGCCGTTGGTGTCGACTTCGGTGGCAGGGGTGGGTTTGGAGCCTTCCTCTCTGGTGTGTTCGGTCCTGCCCTTGACGGTGATGGTTTGTTCGTCGGCAAACTCAATCACGACGTCTTTCTGGTTGATGCCGGGCAGTTCGCCTTCCAGGATGTAGCTGTCCTTGGCCTCCTTCACGTCGAACTTCGGCGCAAAGGTGCGGGCTGCGTTGTCGGACAGCTTCTGGAGTTCGGAGAAGGTATCGTTGAACAGATTGAAGAAGGGGCCCATCTCTGAGCGGTAGGGTCCGAAGGTAGATGGTAGACGTGGGAAGAGAGCCATGTTTCTTGTTTGGATGTGCTTTGGCTTTGAGACTCTGGAGAGCGTTGAAGTCAAGCGATGTGGAAGTCTTCGAAGAGTATTAGACATTCAGTGGTTTTGATTGCTTTGTTCTGATCTGGTGAGAGAGTAGGTAAGGAGGAAAGGAAGGGGTAGATTTATACTTTGCTGAAGCCCTCAGAGACGAGGCCGCCGTGGTAGATGGAAGGTCGTCAGAACCATCGCATGGACAGCAGAAATGGCGTGAGGTTTCTAGAGTATTCAGTCCTTGCCTAATTTGGCCTCACGAACATGACCAGCTGGCATCATAGGCTCTATGCGGGGTTTCACGGTGTCGCATAGAGGCTGGATGCATCCCCTGGAGTCTTCTCGATCTTGCTGTGGACTGAAGATCGGCTGGGCGTCAGTGGACGTTTTGGGCCATGTGCAGAGGCCAAACGGAGCGATTGGTGAGGGGTTGCGTCATTACAACGTCTCAAGCTGGAACTGCTCCAGCAAGTGGTGGCGCATTGGCAGAGACGCTGAGACGTGTCTGGAACTTTCGATGGGTCAGGCCCTGAAATTCTGTACGTGTCTCTGTCATTACAACAGGGGGCATCCAGCACCACCATCTCACGCCCAGCGTTTTCTGACCTTGCCAGCCAAACAGCCTCGAATTTTCTAGGCTTCTCTAGCTGCTACGATAGACCAGCCTTTCTCCGCTCACCGACCTCATTCAGTCCTTCCCACACCGCTCCATAACTCGGCTTGAGCCCAAGCTCCTCCACGGAGGGATCCCAACCTTGACCCTCACGAGAACTGACCACTGCCATTCTGCCTCACGGCCAGTGTCCTGCCTTCGCTGGGGACGGTAGGACCCTCGGAATTGCAGTCATAGCCGATGTCAAGACCGCGATTGTTGTTCTACCCAGTACTCGAGTACTTGTTGCGACCAGTCTCTTTCGATCGATAGTCCACAAGGTGGCTGAAATCGTACTCGTACGAGGCAGATCCAATGAACCTAATGGGATTATGTGAGTCTGGAGCGAGCTGGACAGCATAGAGGCAAACGAGGTGGGCGCTCTGTTGATGAAGACCGTCCCAGGTCCCTTGTTCTCCTGTCGCTGAATTGCCTGTTGAGACCAAGAGAATGAAGCTGGGACACCCAGCCGAAGGAACAAGGCGTGGACTGCTGTCACCGCACACTGACTTATCGTGGCAACGTCTTCAGTACGCCAGGTCCTGAATGCACCACACAAGGTCCATGGACAAAGAGGTACTCAGCAAAAGCTCCGGGACGAGCGTTTACGCTGCAGGAGGGAACCGGCCACACGTAGACCGATATTGACTCCGGCGGAGGAGCGGATTGAAGATCCGAGCGTGACAACTCCGAGCAAGCACGCACCTGTTTTACCAATCGAGATGGCCGCGTACAGCGCTTCGACCGGGTTCAGGGCAATGGCTTTAACTTGGATTAGGGCGTGATTCGGGCCTGGTGCCGGCAATGGAACTTCTTTGACAACTGCTGTTTTGGCCCTCCGCCTCGAGGACGAAAGCTCTCATGGTGACCAAGCCCCCCTTCTCGGAACGTATTCCAGCCCACGTCTTCCCTCCATCGCGTCGAGGGTAATGCACAGGCGAGTCCAGAAAGATACAAGTCTTTATTGTGCAGGCCGGGTGAAGGATGGAGGGTTAAAAGGCCTGATGTCTGATTGATTACTGCGCCTTATCGGGGCGCCTTTCGGTTGATCGGTTGATCGACCATATAGAAACTCAGCCGCCAGTATACACACTGAAACCTTGCAAGTGCATTCAGATCAATACTTGAGTAAAATAAGATCCTGTCGCTCGCCCTTGTGCATGAACGCCAATTGCTTGTAAGTACTTCGCGCCTCACTTTCATTTCCTGGGAGATGTGGTCCAGGAGCCCAGGCCCGGCCACCCGTAAGTTTCGGACTCGGCCGCATTATCAATGGCCTCAAAGGTGGCTGCCTCCACTTTCTCCTCCACGTGCGCTTCTGATCCTGCTGATCCCGACCGTGACTTTGACCGCTGGGATGTTGCCGAATCGTGAGTCTTGAAGGTGCCCAGGCCGGGCCAACCCCAGGTCTTGTCGCTCTGGTGCGAATCTTCACCCATGTTGTTCTCGTTGAGCTTCGACGACGCCACAGCCTGCAGGGCCGGGCTTATCGATCCGTTGGTGCCGCCTGCTGCGTCTTGTCGTTGAGGCGGCTGTTCTTGAGCAGCGCTGTCGCTGGGAAGCCTCTCATGTTCGTGCGCAAGTGCATGCCGGATAGAGTCCATTACATGGCTGAGCTTAGACTCGTGGTGGTGGTGATGATGATGGTGTTCAGTGGACTCGCTGCTGCTAGAAGCCTCTGAATGGGTGGTGTTGGTATTCCAGTTGAACCGAGTCATGGTGGTGTTTGGTGTTTGGGGTTTGGTATGTGAAGCTAATGCTGTTGTTTTGCTGGTTGGCAATATTGGCAATGTAGGATAATCTCTGAGTTGCTTATTGAGCATTAAAACAAGCAAGAATCTGTGAAGTTTGATGCCCAGCCCATTTTATACTCAAACTCGACTCACCAGATCCGTTTGCAGCGGAATGATCGAATACAGGAGGACTGTCACTTCCAGCAATCCCCAGCACCTGCGTCGCACGTGCACGCATGTCATTGGATAACACCCCGGGTTCTGGCCAACGGTGTCATGTTACCGCACAGGAAGTTTGCAGTGTCACACCACGCAGCACCTGAACCTTTGTTCGGCGGTGGAAGCCGAAATCGCGCATACGCGGGAATAATCCTGGAGTGACCGCCAAGATTGCAACACCCTGTGCCACACGTGAGAATCCACATCTCTACTCCTGCTGCTCCAGAGTCTGATGTGGAGGAGAACGGATTCGTGCTCGCCCATTGTGTCGTATAATTCCCGAACAGCAGAAGTGCAGGAGGAACAGATAGTCACAATGACGAGCTGCCGCGAGAAGATGCCAAAGTTCTAATGACGCCCAGTGGTTGAAATGACAATCTAAGCGCGACGCGTGTGTGTTTTGGTGAGCGGACATTCACATCGACCTCCCATCGACCTCCCATCGACCGTAACTGTCCGAATGAAACCCTGAGCTCCAGGACCGGAGAGGCAGCGACACAGACTCGGTAGCACATCCTAGACGATACGATTGCAGTAGGCACTCATATCTCTGCACCTGCGGTCTTCGCCGGCTCGTTTACGATATTTCAAGGCCGAGGTCCAGATCAACTTCAACAGCACCGGCCGTCTGCTATTTGCGACCTCGGTTTCGCCTTTGGTCGCGAAATCCGGTCGAGCAAGTGCGGTTTAGGAGAAGCACCGTAAGTAAAAGTGATCATCAGATTCTCAAGCTCCGTTATCCTACGACATCCAGCCTAGTGAGTATCGACGTCACGCTGACCATTCATTGCCCCGCCTGCAAGTGCGCAGTCCCTTCCACGAAAGGCTCCCATTCATTCTTGTTCTTGCAGTACATCTGCTCTGTTATCAGCATCCAAGACCTGGGTCGAAATGAAGAGAAAAGTGAGGGATCCCGGACAACCCTCTTTGGTTATGGGCCGCACTCACCTCGGCGACTGGTTTCAGAATTTTGTCGAACAGACCCATTTTGATGACTGTGCGGAAGGGAAAGAGTAAGCGCGGTCTGTCTTCTGCCACAACCTTACCATCGGCGAAAGAATTCGACAAGGGCGTCTCGTACATTTCTTCCCTGGAACCAATTCCGTCTCTGAGTAGATCGGACTTGAATCAACATCAGCGTCCAGCGCTACACGTCAATGGGGACGAGGTAGAGACGAGATACTGTAGGTTGCACAGTCTGCGCGAAGAACCAACGTCCAGTTGTACTCACCTACCACAATCCCCGCAGAACCAGCGATGGAGCAACGTTCCGGAATCGGTCTTCCGATCGATATAGTCTTTGGGTGATCCGACCACAGTGACATCCTCATCTGAAATCACCGTCACGTATGTCCCGACTACAAGCTATCAGCAACAGCAATGGCAATACCAATCGGCGCAGCTGGCATACGTGCGCCGCTCTGTTTTCGACAGTTCAGGCACCGGCAGTAGATGGGCTGAGTGTTTTCGGCCGCATCATTGATGGTGACCTTGATGGCTCCGCAATTGCATTCTCCTTCCAGCACCATCTTGGCAAAAGCAAGGCAGTTGAATTCAGGAAGCTTGAAAATCAGCAATTGCGGTGGCTGTGGTGGCCATCCCCTCGTCTATATACCAGTCCCACATACCTCGGGGCTGGTCAGGTACCGAGTTCCAGCCAGAACCACAAGTCAATCTTATTGGTAGCCGGGACCCGCGATGCCTAGCACTTTGTAATCCGGTTGGTCATCGGACCCGCATCTACAGTAATTAGCGTCACGACATCAGCTCATCAATACCCATCCAGCCCACTTGCGGCTCACGCAGCCTCTCTTCTACTTTTCCGAGTAAGCAACGCTCAAACGAGACATCCAGGAACATCCTTGGATTCATCTGAATAAGCGATGGCAGCATGTGCACCAGTAGACCCTGCCTTGCTACGCGGCTTATGGTACAGCATGGCCCTTTGACCTCTGATTTTTGGAGCCCACTATGTCCATATCCGAGTTGATTACTAAGTATGCCTTTTGGGGATCAAAGACATTATTGCCGTAGTCGACAACAAGGCAATATGCATACCCAGTCTGGTGAGTATCTGCGTATATCTTATCCACTACTGCAACAGTGTCGCAATTTCACTAATTCCAGCTGTCGCTTACAGCCGCAACCGGAAAACACAACGAGGGACAATATCAAAGCTGGAAGGTAAGCACATTGATCGACTAGCCCTGAAAGGGAGAATATCGTGAGCATAATACAGCCTCGTGCAGTAATTTGTCTCGTACGTTCCTACACAGCACATAGGGCACATACACAACTGTTCATCTTACTGGACGACCTCGGTCATCAAATCATCCGGCCAACGCGGCGCGTCCTTGCCATTGCCTCTCGTCCCGACATTGTATCTGAGAACGACCTTGTCATCGTCAAACTTGGTGATCGGCTTGATGGTCCGGACGACGGCCCCAATGGCCTTGCTTTCGCGGTCCTCGAAGAACGACGGCTGGAGGAGCTTGCTGTTTTTGGCTATCATCTCCATGTATCGCGGTAAGAGGTAATTCATGTTATGGTAACATCTTGGATGCCGCACCGTCAGTCCATCAGCCAACTAACCGTACGGGTCGTCATCGGAAAATGAAAAGGGAGCGGGCACATCACGCACAGAGTTACGAGTTGAAGGGGCGACATGGGGACTTACCGGAACACCTGCTTGCCGTTTCTCTCCCACACGTCCTGCCAGACGTCGTCGGGGTATTCTCCCACTGAATCCGCCAGCCACTGGTTGTAGTAGTTCAGCGCAACGTCGACCTTGAAGCTGCCGCCCTCTTCGGCTCGTCGCATCAAGGCGCATAGAATGCCAGTCACGCCCGCGATGCCGGTCATGTAGTCGCTGTTGGGAAATACGGGAGTCACGGGCTCGTCATCTTTCAGCCCCATGGCCCGGCCAAATCCAGCAGAAATGCCCACGCAAGCGTCGCTGATTTGCTGCCATCCGGAGCGGTATTCCCACGGACCGTTCCAACCATAGCAGTTCTCACGCACGGAGATGATGCCACGCTCTCGGTCCGTGACCAGGTCGATGATGCCTTGTTGGCTGAAGCCGTATTTGTCCAGGACGCCCGGACGGTAGCCTTGGACGACGACATCGGCGTCCGTGATTAGGTCGCGCAGTTTGGCCTTTCCTTCCTCGGTCTTCAAGTCAAGGCTGCACTGCCATTTGCCCCATGACAGGTCCACGTGCAGCATGCTGTAGTCTACTAGGTTCGGCGACGTCACTCGCATGACGCTGGCCCCCAGCTCTGCCAGACCCCTCGTCACGGCCGGCGCGGCGATCACGCGCGTCAGGTCCACGACCTTGAGCCCCGCGAGCGGTCTGGCGGCCGAGGTCTGAGGCACATCGGACCACCAGGAAGGCTTCTGGGTGGTATTCGGCGCGGCGTGGATCTCGAAAAGACCGACGTGGGCATTGGCCTTGCCGTGCTCGGAGGCGCGGAACGATTCGACCGTCTGGCATATCACGCCCGCTTGCTTGTAGACGTCCGACGCCAGATGTTGCATGTCGGCCGAGTCCATGGTGGCCATCTTGTCGATGAATGGCTGCCTCGCAGCCTCCCACGTCGTGAGGTCGTTGCGATCTTCCGGAAATCCCAAGCTATCGAGGCTGGGCTTCGGGTTCATACTGCCGTGCAGGTGGAAATACCGCCCGTCCTTCGTTCGGTAGATGTTCGTGACACAATGTCTGTACAAGCTGGAGCCCATCCTGTGGAAGTCATAGTCGGGGATCATCTTGATCAGGGCCTCTCGGTTCTGGCTGGGCGTGATGACGTTGTCAGTGTCCGGATTGATCTGCCACAGGAGCGTCGACATAAAGAACAGCTGCGCGTGGTCGGTGTTGATCTCCGCCCCTGCCACCTCGAGATTGTACTTGCGCTTGACCAACGCAGCGACAATGCATGCTTCGAACGCCTTCAAGCTTGCCGCCGACTCGGCGAAGCGCCAGTTGATGGGAATCGAGGGGAGGTTTGAACCCTTGAATCTGATCCGTGGAGCGAAGTCTTTGGCCTCGGGCGGGATATCCTTTGCGATCTTCGGATTCTCGAGCAGCGCTTTCGAGAGGAGTTTCTCGGACTCTGCGGGAATCGAATATGTTGACAGGATGTCTGTGGTAGGAGTATCGACGCTGCCCATCTTGACGGCGCGTGCCCTCCGACGCAAATGACTACTTGAGTACCTGGCCGGGTTTCTTGGTGATGCGAAACGATGCAACCAACAATACCAAACGCTGACTTGCGGATTTGTCTCCCACGCTCGCAGGATGTAGTGCCCGGTGCTGACGAGCCTGTGGGTCTGTTGGATACCTACACGATCGGCAGGAATCCGGGTAATACGTTATGGGGTTTGACGGCAAGCGAGAGCAATTTCCACAAACGCCGGTTTTGCAACAGGTTTGTAAGGGGAGCGATCGATGAGGCCAGAGCAGCTACTTAATTAGCACTTCAACTGAGGGAGTCTTGTCTAGAACCAGATCTTGCACCGTCAGACGGATTCACTGGTGGTAGGCACCTTCTCTCTGGCCTGTCCTCCGGATCCTCGGCATAAGAAGGAGCTAAAGGGGGGGTATCCGAGAGGTGGATTGCATGGGACTGGAGCTCCTTGTTGTGCACTCACCCAGTGATGAAAGGACTTTGGCCTATTCAGGCGCCCATTTGCGTCTCACGGGCTGGACATGTTGTTGATGAATGATCATAATGATAAGGTAAGCTGTCTAGGTCCCTACACAGGAGGCAGTCCCCGTCCGGGGACCGCAACCCCACACCCAACAATGACATGGCGAGGAGGGGTAAGATACATGTAGGCCGAGGGTATGTCTGACCGAAGAGAGGGTCACATCGAGTCCTTTGCCCAAGGTATTGAGGATACTGGTCTGCAGCCAGATGTTGCCTCGGGATATGGATAGGACATGGTCACATTCAACAGCTACTGTACTCCTTCGGGTATACGCGACTCAGGGGCACCGCTGTATCACCCGCCCGCTCGGGCTAGGCAGTGCTTAGTAGACTTCAAGCCCTGAGTGGCAAGTTGACCACACGTCGCGCAAGGACTTTCAACCTGCATGTGTGCATTATAACCCCGATCAGACCGTAGGCGATCGTTCTAACACGCCCTAGAGAGAGTTCTCGGGCCATATTGTACAGTACTCGCGAGCAACACCGGTGGCATGGACATCTGACCGTTTGCGGACCAGACACCTGAGAGTTTTGAATCAGCATTACGTCGCACTGAACCGAGTATCACCACATCCGAGGCCCTCTCCGATCGAACCCCCTTCTTCTCCCCTGAAAAGTAAGTCACGATGGGCGACTCCGGACCAGAGTCCATCCCGGCAACGCGGCCCTGCCGTATTGCCAACTGCTCCGGTGCACGGGGCGATCCGGGCTACCAGATGCGTCGGCAGGCAGTCCTGGGTCCCGTCGACTTCATCACGGGCGACTATCTCGCCGAGATGAACCTGGCGGAGAACGCAGAGAAAATGGCAGCAGGGCGACACGACGGCTGGGAGCCGACGGCCTGGGACGGCCTGGAGCAGACGCTTGACGTGATCAAGCAAAAGGGCATCCGGATCATCATCAACGGCGGGGCTCTCAATCCCAAGGGGTTGGCGCAAAAGACGCAAAAATTCGTGGACGAGAACGGGCTGGACTTGAAGGTCGCATACGTGTTTGGCGACGACCTGTTGGACGAAGTCAAGGCCGACCTGGAGCAGACGGGCCAGCTGCCGCAGCATCTCGACGGGGAGAACGACAAGGTGTCCCTGGCCGGAAACGCGACCGACTTGCTGGACACAAAGGGCAAACCCATCGTGAGCGCGAACGCCTATCTCGGGGCCCGAGCCATCGTCAAGGGTCTCGAACTCGGCGCCGACGTGATCATCTGCGGGCGCGTTGCCGACGCGTCCCCAGTCATCGGCGCCGCGTGGTACTGGCACAAATGGACCGACACAGACTACGACCGCCTGGCGGGCGCGTTGATCGCGGGCCACCTGATCGAGTGCTCGGCGTACGTGACGGGGTCCAACTTTGCGGGCTTCGACGAGTACCCGCTGGAGACGTTCGTGGACCTGTCGTACGGCATCGCCGAAGTGGCCGAGGACGGCACCACGGTGATCACCAAGCACGACGGCACCAACGGCCTGGTCAACGTCGACAACGTCAAGTGTCAGTTCCTCTACGAGCTGCAGGGGGGCACGTACCTGAACTCGGACGTCTCGGCCGACACGACCGACATCCAGATCGAACAGGTCGGTCGGAACCGAGTCCGGCTGTCGAACATCAAGGGCCACCCACCGCCGCCGACGACCAAACTGGCCATCTTCTACCACGGGGGGTACGAGGCACAGCTCCTCACCAACGCCACGGGCTACGCCACGGCGGAGAAATGGCGGCTGTTCGAGATGCAGCTCCGCCACGCACTCGCGCAAAATGGTCTGACGGACGCGTTCCAGCTGCTCGACTTCCAGGTGCTGGGCACGCCGGAGCCGGATCCGCGCTCGCAGTTCGCGAGCACGACCTACTGTCGCGTGTTCGTCCAGGCCGACGCCGAAGCGACCATCTACGGCCTCCTCAAGACCTGGTCCGAGATCGGCATGCAGCATTTCAGCGGCTTCCATCTCAGCCTCGATACGCGCACCGCCCTGCCGAGATCGTACCTCGCCTTCTACCCGGCCGTGTACCCGCAGTCGAAGCTGAAAGAGGGTGTCGCCCTGCTCTCATCCGCCTCGGGGGTTCATGACACCAAAACAGCAGATGCCGGCCACCCTCCCAAGTACCAGGCGCTCTCGCCGCGGGATAATTACGAGGCGCTCCATCCCGTGGCGTTGTCCTCGTTCGGCCCCACGCGCAAAGCACGGCTGGGCGACGTCGTGCTCGCTCGCTCCGGCGACAAAGGCGCCAACATCAACTTCGGGGTCTTTGTCCGCTTGCCGCACCATTACCCCTGGCTTCAGTCGTTCTTCACACGCCAGAAACTGCAGGATCTGATCGGCCCGGTCGATTGGAGGGACGACTTCTTCATCGAACGAATGGAGTTTCCGAACATCTGGGCCGTGCATTTCGTCATCTACGGGCCCCTCGGCCGCGGGGTGAGCAGTTGTCGACTGTTGGATGCGTTGGGCAAGGGCTTTGCCGATTATATCCGCGACAAGGTGGTGGATGTGCCGGTTCGGCTTCTCGAAGAGGTCCAGGATGTGAAGAGGGAGAGGAGGGCCATGCTGTGAGGTCAATCGTGCTAAAATACACGTGTGTGTGTATACCCCTTCGGTGTCTTGCACACCGGACCAGACTGAACTAGAGTGGATGTACGGAGTAGTACTGAGTAGTTTTTACTGATGCCCGCAGCAGCCAGCTTAGCCACTGGCCCGCAGATTGGAATGAGTTAGATCACTGTGGTACTGGTACTTCCACATGGGATATCTTCCGATTACCGAACAGCCGGCATTCCTTTCTCCTCCTCTGTCTCTGGTGGCGAATACGCAACGAGCAATGGCCCACTGAGTACTGTGTACTCATAGTGTAAATCCAGTACGTAGCCACTTTACCTTGCCTGACGTTGTTACTGTGAAGTCTACAAGACATAGTAAACAGCGCATAGCACACAGCGCTCACCCCGTACACAATAGGCAGTACAGGCCTCGTACTTTCAAAGTCCACCGCAGGTTTTAAAAAGTCCGAGCATACGTAAATGGTGGTGAGGCGCCTACTTATATGCTTCAGCGTGCTCTGCATGCCACCTGTTGCGGACCCATTACTGGCAATACCACCATGTCATTGTGCAGGGGAGCTAAGGCGTAAAGGCGACAGGCGGCAATGCAAGGCTGTGGATCCGCGATGCAAATTTGCAGCCGAGGCACGCGAGGCTGTGGCAGGAAGAGACGGGACGCCACTGTCTCCCCCCTTCAATATCCTACTGTAGTACTCGTAACTCGTACTGTAGTCGTCGGCACAACCACGCCGGGCGGCACTGCACGCTCGTCGCAAATTAGGCTATCCGCTTGAAAAGGAGTCAAGTACTCCGTACATCTTGCGCAAATATAGCTTGCGGCCGAAAGCAGATTTTCAACCGACGCAACGTCAGGGCCGACGGAGGGTGTCCTCCGTAGACAGACCAAGATTGGCAGAAAGCAGACCCTCTTATTACGCCACACCACGCCACGCCGCGGGACGGGGACAGTGTGCATGGCAAGGCCGATATTGCGTGGTATGCCACACAGTACTCCATACACAGTGTGCATTGCATGTGATGTATTTGGCCCCGGTCTTTGACGATTCAAAGATTGCACACACGCGGACTCGGGCAGATTCTTGATGCCATGTGCATCGATCGAATCCACTTCGTGGGTCCTTGGTGTGTTTTCCTTGCCCTGGCGTGACGAAATCATGTTTCATGGAAGAAAACTAGATACTGTGCAAGTGCACGAACAAATAATGCATGCTCTTGCTATCACTATATGTGCCGAGCAGCGCCGGAAGCTGTGTCGTGCCTCGAATCTTTTGGTACGCACTGAGAGATATACTCGCAGCTTGACCGGCACAGCACAGCACAGCCCAGCCCAGCTGCCATGGAGAAGCACGAAGACCCCCCAGCCACCCAGTCCTTGTCACTTTTCCGGCTCGTCGTCGACCAGGCTCGCGTCACAGACGAGGTCCTCAACTATCCGTATCCGGGAGCAGGCACCGTCGATGATCCTTACGTCGTCACATATATCCCGAATGACCCGGGAAACCCGTTCACTTGGTCGGAGCGGAGGCGATGGGTCCTCAGTCTGATCGTGGCCACGGAGATGCTCGCCACGGCATATGCGTCGAGCGCATTCAGCGGTAGGTCGATAGCACTTTAGTAACCGGCCGGTCGAGGACATTTCCGCTAACACGGTGGTACAGGGACGCTGGAACAACTCATCATCAATCTTGGGGCGAGCACAGAGTTGATCACCGCCGGCATCTCGCTGTTTGTCCTCGGTTTTGCTGTTGGCCCTCTCCTCTGGGCCCCTCTGTCGGAGCTGTACGGACGCCAGTTGATATTTGGAATCAGCTTTTGCGGCTTCACGGCCTTCTGTGCAGGTTGCGCTGGCGCCAATGACATCGCCACGCTGCTGGTTCTGCGCTTTTTCGCGGGAGCTTTTGGTTCTTCACCGTTCACCAACGCCGGCGGAGTCATCGCCGACTGCTTCCAGGCGCGGGAGCGGGGTTTGGCCATGTCAATATTCGCCCTGGCACCCTCGATGGGTCCGACATTGGGTCCATTCAGTGCGGGCTTCCTCGCCGAGGCCCAAGGTTGGAGATGGGTGATGGGTCTCCTGGCGATCTTTGCAGGAGTCATGTGGATTCTGGGCGCCGTCTTCGTCCCCGAAACATATGCTCCGGTCATCTTGAGGAAGCGAGTTGCGAAGTTGGCGACAATGACGGGCAAAGTATACATCTTGGAGGCGGACAAGGGCAAGGGCGCGCCATCCATCAAAACCCTGCTGCCGACCGCTTTGATTCGTCCCTGGATATTGTTGTTCAAGGAGCCAATTGTCCTGCTTCTGTCTCTGTATATCGCCATCATCTATGGTATGTCAACTCCACTCCTTCGATGTGGGTACTCTTGCTGACGGAGTCAGGCACACTCTACCTGCTTTTTGGTGCATATCCGATTGTCTTTCAACAAGTCCGCGGCTGGTCAGAGGGCATTGGCGGACTTCCATTCCTCGGCGTTGCGGCCGGCATGGTGCTCGGCATCCTTTTTGCGGGTTGGGCAAACAAGTGGTATACCGACGAGGCAGCAAGAAACGGCGGCATTGCTCCTGCAGAAGCACGATTGCCGCCTGCATTCTACGGCGCTGTCGCAATCCCAGTTGGGCTGTTCTGGTTTGCCTGGACAGACTATCCCTCTATCCACTGGATTTCGCCAGTCCTAGCCGGTGTCCCATTTGGATATGGCTTCACAGTGGTCTTCCTGGCCGTCACGAATTACCTGGTCGACTCGTACACCATCTTCGCAGCATCCGCCTTGGCAGCCAACACGGTGTTGCGGTCGCTGTTTGGTGCCGCCTTCCCACTCTTCACCCCGGACATGTTCGATGCTCTTGGGATCCATTGGGCAACCTCCGTCCCAGCCTTTGCTGCACTGGCCTGCGTGCCATTCCCGTTCATCTTCTACAAGTACGGAGCCAGGATCCGCAGCCGATGCGTCTATGCCGCTCAGTCAGAGGCTGTTATGGCCCAACTCCGCGCAAAGGCTGTCGCATCGAATGCCCAACCATCGGAACCGGAAGAGAAGGTCTCACGGGGATCGACCAGTGACGATTCGACCGATTCTGAGAAAGACCTAGACGGGTCCCAACCCAGATTTGAGCCTATTAAGAGTAGAAAGTCATTTGCGTCGGAGAGAGGCGGCAGGGCGTCCTTGACGAGGATGAGATCGAATACTGGAAGCATTTTCGAGGCAGCCAATTATCAGGCCAGTCCATACGATATTGACCGCGTAAACACCTCGACGTCCGTGGCAGGGCTCGATCTGACAAGGACGGCGACGAACCGCTCTGGCAATAGATGAGGGGATATCCATATGGTATCTTCAGCTGTTCTGTATCATGTAGCCATAATATAATGACATAAACCAGCGAAGGAGATATGACGTTTGCGACGGCCTTCGATTTTTCATACAGCTTAGGGACTGGATCCCTTTGTAGGGTTGTGCGGTAAGGCAGAAGCTGGGTTCATATCGTCAGACAGATATCGAGACTCTCATTCAACATGATCAGCGTCGCCCTGTATTGATGCCATATCTGCTTTCTAGACTCGATGGCCGCGGTGGTATTTAAATCCCGGATGCTGTGCTTCAACCTCCTATCCAAGGGTCGACCCTTCCAGTACTGCAAGTGTAGTAGATTCTTCACGATCTTGTGCTCGAAGCCATCGTATTTGCGGGCATTCTCCAGAAATTTAATGGTGTTCTGGATGCGTCGAGGGTTGAAGTTTGAGGGAGGTGAAGTGCGAAATGTCTGGCGCAGGATGTCGCGAAGTTCGTAACGAGCGGGTGTAGAGAATTGGACCGCTTCTAGGCCGGTGCGGTACAGGTCACGGTAGGCTTGCCGGATGTGCTGACGAACAGCTGGGGCGGTCATCTGGAACAGCCCGTGTGTGTGAGGGCCTGCTTGCTTGGAGGAAGATTCGGCACTTTGTCAAGATGTCGGCGAAATTCGCCGGCGCCAAGCCAAGGCTGATGGGGCTCTGCGCTCACATTAGTCAGCGGGAAAGTTAGTCAGCCGCAGCCTTGCCACCATCCGGGTGCCATTGCCGTGTTTGCATACGACGCCACGCAACCAAATTCTTGCCCAGCCTTCATCCTCTCGAGGTGCGTCTCCTGTAGCCTCGAATTGATACTTTCCCTTGACGACGAGCCTGCGCTCATGTCACTTGCCGCACAAGTCATGGATAGAGATACTGTCTTTTCAGAAATCGGGACCTCAACCGCTCACGAAAATCTCTCTTCCCCAGTTATCCACTTCTGCTCCTTGTGTAATAAGCCTTTTACAAACGGTAGGCGACTCGGAGGTTTTCACCATGCTAATGGCTGAATTAACACTGCAAGGAAGAGTCCGCACGTGACCGGCACTCTCGTTACTGCACAACACGTTCGCGGAAGCGGCCTCGATCATGCCAGTCCTGTAATGCCGCCAAAATCAAATGCAGCTTCGGGAGCCCCTGCTCGCGTTGTGCGAAGAAAGGCATCGACTGCCTCTACAACCACTTGAAAGCACGGTCAGTATCTAACAACGCACCAGAAGCACCGAGCCCTGGAGTGGTGGCAGCGTCAAGGGCCATGGGTGACCTCCATAGTTCGCTTGATCGTGGGGGATCATTAGTGGTTGGCTCCACAGCCTCGTCATCTGGGGACCTAGACCTGATACACGATAATGCTATGGCCAATGCTCAAGATCTCGCACTCGGTGATGGGTGTTACCCGTTGTTTGACTTCAATTTAGAAGGATCGGCTTTCAATGACAACTTCACGGTCGACGGAATATTTGCACCGGGTTCTGACGCCCTTGCCCAAGACCACAGCCTTGCAGATGTTGGGATGGCGACATACGGCAAATCACGCGCCCGATTGAAGGATTGGTGCGACTGGTCCAGCCACGGGCTGTCCCTCGATGTTGTGACCGAGAGGCTCCCGGCCCTGCCAGACCCGGGTATCGGAATGGCGGCAGGTCTTTGGATTGAGCGTTCGCAAGCCCAAAGTAGCGCAGACCTCATCGTCCAGTCATTAAGGGCTTTTCCCACTATGATGCTGCGCAGGGAGACGTTCCCCTGGTTCATCCATCCCCAGTCACAGCTCATGTCGAAACCAGGAAGTGGTGCTACTGCTTTGCCTGACGCGATATCGACTTGCATGGGTATCGCGCAGATATTCACAGCACGGACACCGGAAACCAAGCCCTTTCTGTGGCGCATCATTAGGGGCGAGTATCGCCGTTTGCTCAATGAGGTATGTTTTCCATATCTTGAACACAATCGTGTGCGCTGCTGAAACCCTAAAGATGCACGATATGTCTAAATTCGATGTTCTCTTGGCTACGCAAGCCTGCATGATATATCTAGTCATGTGCATCATTGATCATTCGTCCGATAATGAAGAGCATGGCCAAGAGCTACTACGGGCCTTATATGTAAGTACACTTCGGTATCGATGGAATGACAACAACCGTTGACTTGTGGAAGGTCCTCTGCATCCACTTCAAAGAACTGGCAGGCGGACAAGGCGCCGGTAACGGCAGTCAAAGTGAGCTTTCAAGCCCAAGCCGCACCTGGGAAGATTGGATATTTGCCGAATCTCGACGAAGGTAAGCCCTTCGAGCTCTCCACGCGGGACCTCTGCAGCTTCAAGAGTCATGCTGACTGGGTTCGCCTTGCAGGCTCTCCAGCCTGTGGCTGCTCGTTGGCTGCGTCGTCTGTATCAAAACGGGAGTTGCTTGCGATCCAACCGGCAGCTATCGGAGTATTCCGCTTCCTGGGCCAAAGTCTCTTTGGAAAGCGTCGACGCAATCTGCCTGGGAAGTCGAGTACGAGGCAAGCCGCATGCTGCACGTCAAAGGGCTGGTAACCCTCGGTGACCTGGTCGATATACAACGATCACCATACACGCCCTTGAATTCTGGAAAACTGGATGTTTGGAATGCAAGAATCGACAATCTTGGTTCTCTATTGAATCTGGTCCACACCATGCTATGAATATCTATTCGCTCACCAGGGGCGAGCTGAGCTCTCACTAGCGCCTCTAGGATACCAACTGTCCTCCCCTCTCCCTACCAAGGCACTATACCGTCTCTGTCCGAGAAGGTCGCAGTTGGTCCTCCCTTTTCGGCCGTCGCGAGCTCCACGATTCGCTTTGCACCCAACTCTGGCGATTCTCCCATCAAGTGATTCACGAGCTTAGTGTTGACCAGCCCCGGACACATGGCGTTCACCATGGCGCCTTGATCCTCGAGAATTCGGGCGTAATTGAGACACAGCATATTGAGAGCCGCCTTGCTGGAGTCATACGCCTTGTAATCGGTGCTGTAAAACGGGGTCGACTTATTCGTCGCTTCGGCCAGCGATCCCATGCGCGAGGATACGAAGATCAGGCGCGGACACTCGGACTTGCGCAGCAGAGGCAAACATGCCTCGGTCAAGCAGGCAGCCCCGATGACGTTTGTGCTGAACGTCTGGCTGAACAGTTCCCTTGTTGAGAGGTCTTTGTATGCGTCGGTGAACCCTGGGACATAATCGATCAGGATGCCTGCGTTGTTGATGAGCACGTCCAACACGCCGGACTCGCGCTCGATCCAGCTCACTGCCGCGGCGATTGACTCGTCTGAGGTAACATCGAGTTGGACCGAAGAAGCTTGCGATCCATTCGCGACAATGGAAGCAGCAGCTTTTCGACCTGCTTCAGCATTTCGCGACCCAATGATGACATGGAAGCCGTGCGCGGCTAACTTGGTGGCCACGGCAAGGCCTATGCCTGTATTTGCGCCTGTTATGAGAGCAATTGTCTGTTTGGTGGACGCCATGGTGCTGTGGTTTTCGCTCTGGTTGAATGGCTTGGAGTCGGGAAACCTAGGAGTGCAGAATCGCGAAGAGGGCTGGAGTTCTCCGTCAACTGGAAGGCATTTCACTGATACTTATAGGAAACGGAGTGATTGATCTCTGATGCTCCAGGGGAAGAGCACAATGGCAAAGACGGCCAATTTCGCCGGTTCAAAAGTGGCCGTTCATCTGGCTGATATCTCCAGGCCAGTGTGGCGAGGCTGTTGGCAGGGATTATAGCTGAACGCCTACCAGCACGAGCTCGCAGGGAGATACACTTCACCCTGCCATATTTCGCTTGATTTTCAGTGCTGTTCGGGACTCCGAATGAACAGCACGTTGTTGGGGCTGCCTCCGGGCGCGTCAATCCGGCCTGTTAGGCGTCAACGACCATCTCCGGGTATGTTAGCCGAGCTTCTGGTTAAGCTTCTGCCAAGCCTAGGGATCGCAGTTAAGCTTCCGTGGCTCCCCTATGACGTTCACCGACGCTGAAATCAAAGCTGTCAAGCTGTGAAACACCAAAGCTGCCTTTGCTGCTGACATTACCAGCTTCACTCGTGCAATGCTTGAAATTTTTACAGAGCTCTGTGCTGCGCTCTGCTGTTCATTTGACGGATCTTCGAAGCGGTTGAGACCCAGGGCAGGCAAATTGCCGCTACGGGGCATTAAATTAGGGGGATTATGGCGCCCGCCGATACGCATAAGCATGTTTGCTATTGGACATTCGGGCTGCCTCGCGAGAAAGCCCTTAGGTAAGCTCTTCAGCATGAAGAATCCCTGGCGGAGGCCTCGGATGCGGTGCAGGGAGGCGAAGAAGACTCCTCACCGTCCTCGACCCTGGCGCTGTCAAATGAGAATGTCGTACGACCATCTGTATTCTTCGACTCCAGCTTCCGACGCGCACAATAGCCTGAGACATGAAAAGGAAGCAGAAGCCTCTAGTCAATCTGGTCCTTTTCGCGACTGTGCTCTTTGCCATTCTCTTCCTCAATCATTCCCATTCACCGGACAAGGCCTTCGCATGGACGACAATCAGGTACAAATCAACCGCAACATCGTTTCCCCCGGCTCGTGGCATCTGCCCTGGGTTGTCTCCTGAGAAACCGGCCCTTGTCGTGGCTCGAGTCCAGGCCGATGGTGATCCAGAATGGCTCAGTACTCTCTCGGACAGATACCACCTCTGCATGTACACTGCAGACGCGGCGGAGGACTTGGGCTCGATGAATCTGCAAGTCCCTGCGAATCGAGGCCATGAAGCCATGGCATTTCTGACTTTCATCATCGACAATTACGACTCCATCCCGGAAGCCGGAGCAGTCTTTGTGCATGGCTCCCGATTCTCATGGCACAACGACAGCCCCGACTACGACAACATAGCCCTGCTTCGCAATCTCAATATCTCTGCTGCATTGGCTCCGGTGGGCTATCACAATCTACGCTGCGACTGGAGCGCCAGTACCTGCGATCAATCTTCGTCGCCTCCTCAAGGTAGCCTGGAGACCTCCTTCCGCGCTGTGTTGCAACCGTATGATCCTAGGGTGATCTCCGACAGCGCCTTGGCACGCTCTCTGGCCGTGTTGTTCCGTGGCGACGAATCTGAGGCTGCCAAAACGGATGGGCAGATATTTCTCGGTCGCAGTGATGCTGTGCGCTCTCAATGCTGTGCGCAGTTCGTTGTCGCTCGCGAGAATATACGGCGTCATACTCGTGACGAGTACTTCGCTCTGCGACAGTGGTTGCTCGATGGAATCAGCCACCATGACCTTCACCAGAGAACCCTCAACAAGAATGCCGCGCCCCGCGATGACCGCGTTGCCGGGCGCATCTTGTCATATCTTTGGCACATTCTGTTCATCCAGCAGAGAGGTCCGGCAAACCAGGGCCGGGACGCCAGCACCATAGATCTACAGCAACTGAACCGCCTTGCCTGTCCTCGGGCGGACGAGTGTTATTGCCGCTTGTACGGCCGGTGCAATCTTCCAGGCTGCAACAGTCCTGGCCGCTGCGCTGGTCAGTATCGGATACCACCTGACTTTAAGCTCCCAGTCGACTGGCCAGCTTCCCATCCATAGGCCTAAGGAAAACAACGGCTCCTTGCCAACGCGTACGAGAAGGAGAAATGCGCGTTTTGGATACCCACGATGTAACAGACTTGGCTTCCCAGGATGTGGGATGGGTAGAGGTGGTTGACTACGTGTATTGAAATAGGGTACCCCGTACAGCGATCCGGCTTGAATGACACGGTCTCGATCGCGATATTGATGCAGATAGGACAGGACACTGCTGACATATGGGTGGCCTAGGCGTGCTGGGCAGCTCATCAGCCTATCGGCACTCGACTTGGCCTACGCCCTCTAGTGTCCCTGGTACTCCTTCATGTTCTCGCATCTGTGCTCTACGACATCTCTGTGCTTCCTGGTCACTTTATATCGAGCAGTGCTGGCTCGAATGTAAAAGACGCTCTGCCATCCTACTCCAACTCATAGGCGCCTCATTTCCTTTTCTTCCATCTATGCACGTCGTCGTTCACGAGCCCCTCAACACGACATGCCCGCACAGGAAATGCGCAATCTGCCCCGCCAACATTAAGCGAGATGTTTGTTACTCGGTTTAGCTAGCCATGCGAAGCTTTGAGACCATCTAACTTGCCTTTGTTCACCTGCTCGACGACGCAGCGGAGGATTCCTGCCCCACAAGCGTTGGAGTCTAACCCATACTGCCCACAAGGTCCCACGTCTATTTCCTTTTGTGGAATCTGAAAGGAACCAGCCTTATGAAGCACGTCATGGTACCGTGGATGGGGCTGAGTCTACTCCGTACTCCGCGGTGAGATCCGACTCCTGACCCCCTTGGCGTATCGAGTTCACAGCACTCAAGGTCGATCGTTGTATATGTAGCTAGGTAGGTACGCTGAGAAGTTAAGTGTCTGATACTGTCCTTGCTCTAATCAGAGTATTGTATTCTCGTCTCTTTCCCTCCCTCCTCCTGACCAGCGCGTTCTTCCAAGGGAGATATCTCTCCCGTCCACTCTTTCCGCGCGTTTCTGAACTTTTCCTTGTAATCATGCATTTCCACTTCTTTGGCAACTGCTTTGCTCTTCTCCTCGCGTTCATCACTGCCGTCACGGCCGCTCCCGGCGGACCGCCAGGTTTCCCTGGAGGTGGCGGGCACCAGCCTTACCCCACCTCATGCTATACTTCGGTCGTGTCGAGACGGCCAGGCCGCCCAACGACGAGGTGGTCGACCGTGACCACGTCGTGCACGTCCACACGTACGGTGACCAGCACCATCATGCCGACCACGACATCCACCGTCACTAGCAGTGTGACCGTGACTTCCACAGCCGACACTACGACGTCTACGGCCATCACGACGTCGACCACAACGAGTGTTGAGACTTCGATCACGACCACGACGACAACCGAGACGTCTACGGTCGAGGGTGTCAGTACCTCGGTCGTGCCGGCCCCATCGGCGTTCCTTCCCGTGGAGGCCACTGTCCCGGGCGCTTCCTTCGAGCAGGACCCCGATGCGTCGGTGACGGCGAAGAGACGGGCTGTCAATATCGAGGTCAGCGCTAATGCCGACCTGGCTGTGCCGAAACGGAACTGGAGTCCTTCATATATCAGGCCCGGTGTACCTGGGAATGTGGGGTGTTATGAATATCACAGTCGATGCGCGACAACAACAACCACGTTGACTGTGACGGCGAGCACATCAACGGTCATCACCACCAGCACAAGCACCTCGACGGTGACGACCACGCCAGGTATGTCTAGTTTTGTTCTGTTCTGTTCTGTTCATCAACCATTCTTCATCCGTTCGTTCAGTTTTCTTATCTGAGGGCGCCCTGACTGACGGCTCCCTCCCCTCTTCGCGGACTTTACAGGCGCTACCACGACCAGCACCATCACAGCGACGGAGACGTCCACGGAAATCAGCACCGAAACTTCGACCGCCACGACCGAAGTCACGTCCTTCACCTCGACGACCACAACATATGCGGCCTGCGTACGTGCCCATCCCATTTCTCTCTGCCTTTGAAGTATTCGTATTCGCCCACGAAACTCAATACTGACTGACACCTTCTAGGCAACCGATAACCAAGCACAATACGTCAACACTCTGCCCATCATTGGCTTCTTTGGCAATGGCACGCCCCTCTCCACGGACGCCACTTCCCAGTACGAGTGCTGCGTGTCCGCGATCCTGAACCCTCTCGGCGCGATCTGGGCATGGGACGTCGACGGCGAATTTTGCTTGATCGCCCTCTCAGCCGATGGGGTGTGTGCGGCGGGCCAGCTCTCGAATGGCGTGGGCAATACCATAGACGTGTCGGAGGTGCAGACGGATCCGGTGGAATGGGGCGTCGGGAATGCCTACTGTGGGATGTGGGATAGCTTTATCGTCAGTAGCTGAGGTGTTCTCTGCTGCATGGCGCTGTGTTATACTGGGCTGTGCTGTGCTGTGCTATGTAGTCCTACACTGTGCTACACTGTGCCATAAACGCGTCATACTGTACTTAGACAGTAGCGGTAGTGGTAATGGCTATTCACAGGTATTGGGAGCCGGGAGACACCAAGTTGAATTGTTACTGTCTGAGTGTACGTTCGTAATCGTAATGTCCTTCTCATCTCATGGTTGCTGCTTGCATTGGCCTACCGGCACACACTCTATACTGTGTAATCGACTCTGACATGTTTGTACCTTCAGCTCGCAGTCTACAAAGCCGTGCCTCCCCAAAACCTCCATGCTTCAGATCATCTAATTATTTGCAGATCAATGTGTTTTGCCCGCGTGCAACCTGAATGCAACTATTGTCACGGAGGTATCGTTGTGCTGGGAGGATTGACCAGGCCTGCGACAGGGAAGCACTCGCCCACCGCACTCATACGGGTTTATGCTAAAGTACTCCGTTCGTTCGTACGTACAATAACGAAGTCTGTCTAGAAACAGTAACCTAGCCGAACAGTGGCGTTGGTGGCGCACGTGGCGCCAAAGGGCAGCTGCCGCCAAGGCCGCGCTGTGCTTCAGGCCTTAATTCCAGCGCAGCCGCCAGCCCTCAGTCCATCTCGCTCTCCTCGCCCATCACTTCTACTCTTCCCGTCAACACCTACTAATACCCACGCGCTGGCTGCCTTTGGAGGCTGGCCTTTTGGATCGCGCTCGTCCTAGATCCTATTGAGCCCCTTTGGAGGTCCAGCACCACCGTCCAGGTGCAACATCTGCCAGAAAATCTGTGCAATCCACCTGTCCTTTCCAGTCACGCCTCGGAGACCATGACCGTGGTCCAGCAGTAGCCACTGCCAGCTGACACGATCGCGTCAAGATCAGGATTTCTTTCTTTCGATCCACTTGTTGACTGATTCTACCTGTTAGACACCGCCTCCCTTGTTTCCTTTTGCCAATGTTGATCCCCCGTCACTCGACTGTTTCCGTGTAGATTGTGGTTGAGAGATGGCCAAAGTCAAACAGAAGGTCGCCAGACAAGGTGCGGCGGGCGCCTCAACCCGCGCTGCCCAGGTTGCAAAACAGAAAAAGCACAAAGTTGCTGTGCAAGGAGATCCCAAGGATAAGAAATTAGCCACTGTTGTAAGCAGAATCCCTTCGCATTCTTGGTGCCCTATCATCGACACGCTTCCCGCGGCTCTCATTCACCAGCTCCCACCGTCCATTATCACCCAGCTCCCCCGGGAAGTCCTCACAAGAGGGCTGGTAATCAGTGAACCTGACACTCGCAAGGTCGCATTTACGGAGAACCCTCCTCCGGGCTACACGTTCATCGCTGCAGGAAATCCTGAACTCACCAATGCATTGAAAGAATTCGCCAGCCGTGGCCAGCACAAGATCTTCGTTGTCACTGTAAGTTGAGCCATGAGGGACATGAATCCATCTTTCTGACACTCCAGATCACACCGCACGCCAAACGCCACGAGTTATCGAGACAAATCCATCGCGTCGGCTATCATTTCCCCACCACGGTCGTCGATCAGGTCTGTGCCCACTATGGCATCCGTCTCAACAACAGGGGCGAGCTCATCGACGAGTCCAAGGATGAAGATCTCTTCCGACGGGTCTACCAAAACGCCGACGGCCAACGTCCGGCCGAAGAGAAGGATCAGGTAACAATCAACACGGAAGCCAAACAAACAATCAAAGATCTATTTCCCAAAATTCCGGATAGTGATCTATTTAGGATTATCAAGCACGCTTTCCAGCTGAGCGACGCCAGAGTCGGAACCGCGCCAGAGCTGACCCTGCTCCGGAGAGCCCACCTCGCCGTTGTCGCCCATATTCGGCACAACTACACCTCATACGACAAATTGCTGAGGCACGTCCAATACAACGAAGCTCGCCATCAGGTTGAAAAGGAAACTCTCGAAAAGATCATTGAGTGGCGTGGTGGCGAGGACATGGCTCTTGAAGATACTGGTCATGCTGCCGATGATCTCCTCAAGGATGTGATTGTCATCTCTGACGAGGATGCGTCCGAGGGCGAGGCGGATGATGTTCAACCTCTACCTCAAGAGCAAGTCCGTGTCGAGGAGCTTCCGACCGCACCCCATGGGCGAGGTTATGACCGCTCCCCCTCTCCAGTGGCCGAAGCGCAGCCTGAGCGTTACCCGGCCTACCCACGTCTTGTGCACAGCTACAGACCAAGTGAAGCCGAAATCGCCCAACGAAGCCAGACCAGGTACGCTGTCTGGGACCAAGTAAGACGGGACTATCACTCCAGAATAGCCCAAGCTCCTACCACCGGCGTGGAGAGAGTCTACAACCCCGAACCTGCTCAGAGCTCTCGCATTTTGATACCGCTCGACGATCCTGCCCCTCGGCCTGCTCAGCTATTTCGTTACGAAGTACCTGTACAAAGACCTGTGAGGGTAGAATACGAGGTAAGACAAGTCCGGAAACCTAGGCCTGAGCTATGCCCTGTCCGTCAGCGAACCCTTGGGTCGACTAATTCCCTCATACAGCCGCTTCCGCCACCTCGACCGAACCCGCCACAGTTCATTCGAGATGCCAATGGCAATCTTTTCGAACGGGTCGATTCTCAGCCACGCGCGACACCTGTGGAGACATCGCAACGCTACTATCAACACGAGACTCCAGCAATGACTGGGGCGCTGGTAAGAACTCGACCTTCATCGCCACCGGTCAACTTGCAAGCGCAAGCACGATATGCTACAGGTCGTGATGGTGGTGATGGTATGGTGCTGCCATCCGTTGAAGCACCTGATGGGTCTTATGCACCATCTCGGCTACGCCGCAACCCCTTCGACAGAGAAGTAGAGCCTCGTGATACTGACACAGTGCGACAAGAAGCTCGTCAACCTCGAGACGCACCGCGCATTGACCTGACCAACAGTTCAAGCCAGACGCCTAAGAGACGTCGACTTGAAGAAATTGATCCGTCACCTGGAGATCGCATGGTCAGACGAGAATCACCTGGCAGGCTTGTTGAGCGCCAGTATCCACCACAACGTCTGACAAGAGCCGCGCACCCGGAGAGTCGCATAGTTGATTATGGTGAGCCTCGTCACGACTCTCGTTTGCAAGCGACAAGTTCTGCCAGGGAACACGCTTACGCTGATCGTCAACCGTTGTACGGTGTTCGTGATCCTCCACGTACTTATACACGTGTCTATGAACCGTTGCCTGAAACGCAGGAAGCGCTTGATTCGGCAAGATCTCAATATCGTCCGCAAAGTTATGGAATCGTGAGACAAGAAGTCGAGTCCATTCGCCCAGTTGGGCCTCCGAGATATGGACCTTCGACGCATGCGAGCCCCAGTCATGAGCCGATCGTGGAGTCTCGCATCTACGACGGCAGGACGACAACAGAGCGTGTCATGCCTTCACGTGAACAATACATCCAACCTTCCATGCAAGAGACGCGTGTCCGATACGTCTATGCTGATGGGACAGAAGCCCCTGAGCCACTACAAGCAGTTCCTCCGCAGCGTGAAGCGGAGTATGAACGACCAACTGCTGCGGTCCGGTCCTACGTTCGTTGAAGCAGAAGATATCTTTTCGAGCGGTCACAGGAGGAGTTCACCTAAGCAATGGTACGATGGTAAGACAGGGATACTTTTAGGCTTCCATGGCATCCTTACAACAGCAACAACATGGCAGTGCTGATGATTGTTTAGGTACGATTGCAACGAAGCATGATAGGGGACGACTCAGCATTGCCTCCTACTTGTCGCACCACTTCGGAGGTTCTCAGTTAAGCCTCCGTGCTCAACCACTTTTCATTTGTTTTCAACTTCTCGTCATCAGCGTCGGTGGGTTCCAGCAGCATGTTTGAGCATAGCGAAGGAGTTTCGACACGACATTCATGTCCAATGAATGCACGAGAGTCCGAGGCGGCCCTTCTTGTTCTCTTCTTGTAACGATATTGCACAAGATACCCACTTGTTGACAGCACGGAATATGCGCGGGAGCAAGGAAGCGTAGGCAACGGGGTCCCAGTGGCGAATCTACAGAGTCTTGTTTCGACCTTTCATTTTGATGGGGATCCGGGATCGCTGTCTCTCCCACGAGCTGGGTAGCGAGCTGAACTGGATAGGTGTAGGCACAACTGTACTCAAGCTAAGACGCAGATGGCAATCTGTCAAAAGGGTTCAGATTTCAGTCAATCAAAAAGGCCAGATAGGAACTTGCAATCAAAGAATTCAACCAAGATATCAAGTGGTCTTTGATAGTCTTTGCGTTTACGTTGCCCGTCTAAGGTATAAACAGCCCGCTCAATCTGACACCAAACACCATGCTTGTCTTTCGACGAAGGGGAAGAATGAATCGTCATGTTTCCATCGCACACGTTTCACCTGCAGATGGCGAGACAACAGAGAGTTTTCCCCTTTTTTCTCCCTCCTCAGTCTCTTGACTTGATGGCTCCTGGCGCCCCCTACCAAGACTGGCTCTGCGGCATGGTCGTTGGTCATGCTTATTTTCGCGGGTATGTTTTTTTTCTTAAAACTGCATTCCCCAAATCCTGGAGCGTGCTGCGCTACGCTACACAGCCATGGTAACGCCATCTGCTTCGCCCGAGTTGACCTGTTTGCCCGTCTTTTTGATCTTCTCGAGCACCGTCTCGTAGGAGACGGAGTCTTCGGTGGTGACGTCGGCGGTTTGTGTGTCGAGCGAGACGTTGAATTCTTTGACGCCTGAGTGAGGAGACAAGAGTGAGCGGCTCATCATTGTAATTAATCAACTTTGGAGCGGAGGACGTAGGACATGGGACGGAGACAAGGCCAAGATCAAGAATGGTGACGGTATGGTAGGGTAGGGTAGGGTAGGGTAGGGTAGGGTAGGCAAGATGTGGTGGTGGTGGTGGTGGTCAAGAAGGAGGGGTGGAACAGGGACAATAGCGACACCGCTTGCCTGCTTGCTTACCATCCAGTTTCTTGAGGACGCGCTCGACGGCGCCGGAGCAGCCGCCGCAGGTCATCTTGACGTTGAATTTGTAGTGGTGTTCGCCCATGACGGATGCGGATGCGGATGCGGGTCAAGGTATGGACAGGTAGACAGGTACGGGGAGTACAAAAGTGGTACTGGTACGGAGTACGAGGGTCGGGACTGATCAGAGGGAACGGACAGGCGGCAGAGCCGACGACGAGAGGGACAGTACGGAGTAAGCTGGCCGGAGTCGCAAGGGATGTGGCGTGGATGGAGATGGAGATGGAGTTTGCCGGATGTTGCGAAAAGAGACAGATCTTTGTACTGTGGAAGTCCGGAGACTGCAAGTGAAGTGTAATATAAATGCCTAGATACCTAGGTACGGAGTAGATATGGGGGTTTTGATGCTTGTTTTCATTATGCCTGTCGCTTGGAATGGTGTGCTCGAGGCAATTACAGCAATTAGTAAACATGCTCAAAACGCCAAAGGTCCCCCCGCCACCCCTGCGACTGGCGTTGAGGGGCTGTTGTACCCCTGTCGTGGTACTCTAGCTGAAGCGGCTGAGGTTGAGACAGGCTCACGGAGTACGAGTACAGGCCCTGCGAGCATTGATAAGCGGGGGGAGAGGGTGGGGGTTCGGGCAGCGAAGGGCCACGAGGGGCGTACGAGGTAACTCCGTACTGGAGGTGCTATTTTAGGTGCGAAACGCCCCTACCGTGCACAAGTCCTGGGTAGGGGCTCTTTCACCTCGTGCTCAGCGCTTTGTGAGATTCTCGTCTCAGATGACGTGCTTTGGAGGCGAGACAAACTGCATGCAGCTGGCTGTGCTTGGCAGTCTGATACGAGTACGGGGTACGAGTACCAGCTTGCTGCGTGGGTAGTATGGAGGTCTGTGCGTGTGTACAGGGTGAACGCTTTACAGTATCTGAACCAGAATATCTGCATACTCGTCTCGTGCAAGACTGGCCCTCCTCTCGTTGTTGATGGCCTGTTGTTCCTCGCAAAATATGTCAACTGGACTGCACCCTCCTTGTGCTCCATCCCCTCTTAGGCATTCACTAGTAGTGAGACTTACCCTCGATAGCTATGTTTGCCAACCTCTCCGAAGGGCAGTAAGAGCTGCAATCCGCTCACACGTCACTGTCTCAGACGATATCCAGTGTGCTCATGAATTCTTGCTGCCCCATGAAGTCGAAATTCGTTGGTCGTCCAGAGGATTGATCCGAGGCCAGCTGTGAAGGGGCGTGGAAGATGCGACAGCCAGGTACCACCCATTTGGGCGTTAACGTCCCGCCCTTTCGATCTTCGAGAGCGAAGTAGCCGACCCGCCGATACTGGCTATCTCCTCCCATTGTGTGCGCTTGGCTGTTGTCAACTGGGGTGACATGCAACGGTGATGATGGCGATTTCGTGGACGTCGTCGCAAGGATGATTCCCTGCGCGGCAAGTAGTATTTTCCCTTTCTCTTCAGGTTGCACGTCCGACTTGGTCAATCTGTACGCCGTCGTCCGGATGACAGCCCCGAAAATTCGCCCCAGCTTGGTAATATCTTCGCTCGTGTCGAGACGCACGAGAAGCCGAGGGACTTTGTGCCTGCCATAGAAAGCTGTCCAGTTGCCGTGTTCATCCAGTTGTAGACAGAGACAATATGCTTGTAGAGTCATCCGAGCAGAATTAACCACTCCACACTCGTCCCCAGAGGCTGTCTCACAAGCGACATTCAGGGCTTGGGCAACCGTCCACGAATGCTGGAAAGGTACCGCATGGATCACATACCCCTGGCACGAAGCCCATGACCAAGTAGGGGCATGGTATTCAGCAGGTCGGTCTGTGACCGTACTTGCGCGGATATACCATAGTAACCCTTCCACAAGGTGAGACTCCCACAGGCCAGCCACGAACCGGTCGCAAATCGCACGGCTCAGGACTCTGGCAACCCCAGCGATCGCCAGAAGTTTATCCGTGGGAAAGGTAAGTGCTCGCGTTGAGTAGTGAGAAACGAAGCGCGCCCAGACGGCCAGAAATTCGGTCTGTACAGTAGGTAAAGGAGCAAGTGTCGTGCCCGCGCGTCCCTTTGCGAACGAAACTATCGAAGTAATGGATTCGAGTTCAGTATCGCGAAGAATTTGTCGCTTTTCATCGAAAGCGCCTCTCGTCTCAAGGGAGACCTTTTTTTGCTGCATTGATTGGCGCTCGTCACATGCTATCAAAGGGTACGTTTCGCACGCTCGCGAGCTTCGGCAGTCCCATAAGACTTGACGGGCACCGAAATAGAGCGTGCGGTTGGCAAGCACTTCTTCTTGCAGAACCCAACCACGCGTTGTCAGGGGCATGTGGACGAGCTCGCCACGCCAAAGATCCAGGTCGTTGATCAAGTAGGAGTGGCTGAGATGGTAATCGTCGCGATGGAGGAACACGCTGCTGCTGCTAATAGTCTCAGGGTCGCGGTGGCAGAAGAGGCCATCGTCCCTGCCGGAGAGGGCTGAAATATTGTATAGCGCGTTGCCTGGTAAAGTTCAACAGAGAGATGCTCTGCAAGTCGAGGGTACACAGGCTCCTTACCGAAGACCTGGGCTGTGGTTAGTCTTCTGAAGACCCGAAAACCAAAGTGACGGGAAGACTCGGACTCTCTTTGCGACCTTCTAGGAGGCGACTTACTTCCGCCATTCTCACAGCTTCCTTCTGGATATCGAGCCGCTCGTCCTGGAAGATACCTTTTCACCACACCCGCGTTGTGAGATGAACAAGATTCGATGTAATGTAAAAAAACACGCGGATTGTGCCTTACATATGGAATCCACCCATAGATAGCGCACGTTCAAGTGCCTCGTCACGGTGATTGCTTCCTGATAGGTGCGCGGCAAGGTAGAAACAGGCATCCCTCGTAGCATTTGCTTGTGAGTAGACCGCTGAAGTTTGACGGTTCCGCTGCCCCATCGGTGCGAAAGGGTAACATACGGACCGGTCACAGCTTCGGTGTCGGCTTCCACCAACCTCCACAGATCACCCCCAGCACCGAATGAGACATCTAGCAGGCGGCTGGGGTAGGTTGAGGATTGCGACGTTGGTTCGCGACAGCTCGAATGATTCGACGTGCATGACTCAAGCCAGTGACGAGCGAGATCGAGGACGGCCGAGTCTGAGGTTGAAGTGGCGGCACTCGCACGCTGAACCACAGATGGGGAACATGAGCTGGGACTTTGGAACTCCTGACGATCAGACATTACTCGACATAATAGCCGCGCAAGACTCTGAAAGGGCCAACTCTACAGAAAGTGAAGGGCCACACCTTTGTGCTTGCTGAGGCAACAGAGCAACCTGTAGATAGCCGTAGGAGTAACTCTTTCCTAGCAAGGCAGGCTTGCTATCGTCGTTTCCACGATCAAGAAATGGGGTCAACTTGCAGCCATGGCGGATCAGGAGGTACATATCCGTCTCGAAGATGAAGGTTTTGTCGAAGACCACCACGTTTGTCTTCGGCAGCTCATGGAGGATCTGCTGCCATTTCTCGTCCCCGAGCTGGATCAAGAGCCTCGTGCACAGATAGCACTTCTCATCAAGCGATTTCTGGAAGACTTGTGTGCAGACTTCTCGTTGCGAGGTTGGCGCTGGATCACCGCGAAAGGCTCGATCTGCCTCCTGAACCAGACACCGGCAGTCATGGCAGAGCATCCGGCAGGTGGTGAACAGCTAGCATGAAAGTTGCAAAGGACGAAAACAAGTTGAGTTCGGTCCCTCGATGTGCTCGATGTTTCGCCCGGGGGATTGGATTCAGCAGCTTGGCGAGTTTGCTGCCAGATATTCGCAGCGTGTCCTGGTGTCTCAACATGCAAAAGAAGAAAGCCGACGAGGTGGAAGAGCCATAAACCTTCCTTCCGTTGATATCGTCCTTTGTACCTTGCGCTATCGCGCGTCTTTTGACGCCAATGAACGCCCAAGGAGCCACCCTGAATATGATGCGAATAGATGGTATTCACGGGTTCCCATCAATACCTGATCGAACTCAAGACAGCCGGGGTTTGACCGGACCGTACTCCTTTCGAAGGTTCATTCTCCATTCTATCTCCAACTCGGAATGTCATTCAATACCTCTTACCCTCGGGGGCACGCCGGGCTGGGCGGGGTCCTCGAACTCATTCGTTTAAGTCATAAGGAGATATAGGAATCGCATCGAGAGCAGAGGCTGGTGAATCCGATCACGTCCTCGTCCTCGACCTCGTACACCCTGCCTGCTGACCCTCAGTCACGTTAATCCCAGTCGACACACCGGCCCGCCTCAAACACCATGACGTCCATGTTCCCTAACAACCTGTACACCCTCCACCAGGCAGGTTCTTTGTGCAAGGTGCGTGACCTATTCCATCCCGACGCTTCGAACCGCTCCCTTGTTTCTCTCTGCTGGCCAGCTAGTGTTGTTCCAGCCCTGGAGACTTTACCCAAATTCTTACCACTGTACCCCGGCGGGGTAGCCAGGCTTTTGGGATCAAGCTCGCGCCGTATCCTGCTGTCGTTCAGATTGCCAAGTCGGCGGGCTTCGACGCCCTCTTCATCGACTTGGAACACTCGACCCTGTCGATCAGTGATGCGAGCCAACTGTGCACGACTGGCTTGCTAGCCGGCATCACTCCTTTTGTCAGAGTGCCGTATCAATGCGGCAATGGGCTCGTGCAAAGGGTGCTGGACGGAGGGGCAATGGGCGTCGTGTTTCCGCATGTTAGCACCAGAGGTATGTCTTTGCGTTGGTGTTTGTCTTTCTTTCACCTTAGCCTACCTTTTTCGTCCCCCTGGTCTAGTCTTTCCCAAGGTCGACTTACCACTAGCTCTGCTAGGGTCTGCGCAAACAACGCTCTGACTTTGTGCCCAGAGGAAGCCACTTCCGCTGTCTCGATCTGCAAGTACCCACCAGCCGGCACGCGTTCCATGACAGGCCAGCTGCCTCAGTTCTCATACACCGCCCGACCCCACGAGACCGTCATCGCGGAGTCCAACAGCCGGGGGTCCACTGTCTTCGTCATGATAGAAACAGCCGAGGCAATCGATAACGTCGACTCAATCGCCTCCGTCGAGGGGGCGGATGTGCTGCTTGTGGGTTCAAACGATCTTTCCATCGAACTAGGTGTGCCTGCGCAGTTTGAAAGTCCCGTATTCAGGGAAGCTCTAGAGAAGGTGAGCAAGGCGTGTAGGGCGAATGGGAAGATCATGGCTCTGGGGGGCATTTACGATAAGCCGGACATTCAGCGCTGGGCAGTGCATGAGCTGGGCGTGCGCTGGATACTGGGCGGGCAGGATTCGAGTTTCATTGCGAAGGGTGCGGCAGGGTGTATGGACGCGTTGAGGGGAGTGGAGAGGAGATGAAGATAGAAGAGAAGGGGACGTTGACGTCGAGGGAGAGGTACAGGGCTAATTTCACGTATTCCTGACTTAGAATTGAGGCAGGCATTCAAATAAGTTTTAGAGCCGTGGCATACTAATATAGAGCTGATATATCCCTCACTTGCAGCGTACAGCTAGATTTTACCTGACACCGCCTGCCAACAAGAGTGAGAAATGCGAAGGAAGCGCTTCGACCAGACCTTCTAGCCAGGGACTACGGCCATCGGACGAGCGGGATGGTACTGAATGGAAGTCGACAGCTTCAGGCCTCGCAATAGCAACCGGTGAATTGGGCACGGAGGGGCCTCGATACAGTGCATTACGAGCAGCGATAAATTATGACAGGGATCCCGCCGGCGCCAAGCCACGACGAGGCTGTCGTTTAGAGCCGCAGACTGAGAAAGTCCCGACGCTGCTTCACTGTCTATTGTGCTCCACAACTCGAGCTCGTACTTTGGACCTGACTGCATACCAAGCGGTGTATTGCAAATTACTTCTCTTCGCTGTGGACATGTGTTAGCACCGGGTAGTTCTTTTCAATACTCCATCGCCGAGATCCTGTACAGCATCAAGCCTCGGCGCACTTTTGTTCACTTTCACCTCTCCCCTCGTGCTTGGAGGCCCAAGATGGCACAGGCTCAACCGCAACTGAGCAACAAGGATGGCGCCTTGTTCCGGCAAGTCGTCCGGCATTTTGAAAACAAGCAGTACAAAAAGGGTGCGAGTCTCGTGCTCTACTCTCCCACGTCGAAGCTCACCTCTCTGCAGGTCTCAAAGCCGCCGAACAGATCCTGCGGAAAACGCCCAACCATGCCGACACCCAAGCCATGAAAGCCCTGATCATCAGCCATCAAGGCCACACTGAAGAAGCCTTCGCCCTGGCCAAGACCGCCCTCAACAACAACATGAAGTCCCACGTCTGCTGGCATGCCTACGGCTTACTCTACCGCGCTGAGAAGAACTACGAAGAGTCCATCAAAGCATACAAATTCGCGTTGCGGTTAGAGCCCGACTCGGCACCGATACAGAGAGACCTGGCCCATTTGCAGATCCAAATGCGAGATTACGAGGGGTACATCCAGAGTCGGAGAAATATGCTGCAGCAGAAGCCGGGGTTCAGGCAGAATTGGACCGCGCTCGCCATTGCGCAACATCTTGCTGGGAACTACGAGGATGCCGAGACGACCCTTAGCACGTATGAAGAGACGCTCAAGGCGAAACCCAACAGGTCCGATATGGAGCATTGGGAGGCTATCCTCTATAAGAATTACATCATCGCAGAATCGGGCGAGGTCGAGAAGGCGCTGGATCACCTGGAGGCAGTGGGCAAGAAAGCCCCGGACGTGTTGGCTGTCATGGAAATGAGGGCAGACTACTTAGCCAGGCTGGGCCGAAAATCAGAAGCCGAGGCTGCCTATGCTGAACTACTGCATCGCAACCCCGACGATTCCGCTTACTACGATGGCTGGATATTCAACAAGGGACTCAAAGACGGTCCAGCGTTGGAGATCAAGAAGGCTTACGATGAGCTGGCAGAGAAGTTTCCTAGAGCGGATCTACCGAGGCGGAGACCGTTGGATGTCCTGTCCGGGGACGACTTCAGACAAGCGGCTGACCAATATCTGCAACGAATGCTCCGAAAAGGAGTGCCCTCAACGTTCGCCAACATCAAACACCTCTACACAGATGCGTCAAAACGAGATATTGTGCAAGATCTAGTAGAAGGCTACGCATCTAAACTCTCGTCCCATCCTCAAACCAACGGCACCAACTCGAACGGCGAGAACAAGGACGACTCCTCCCACTTTGACTCCTCGGTCCTCTACTTCCTTGCTCAGCATTACAACTACAAACTCAGCCGCGACCTCGACAAAGCGCTAGACTACGCCGACAAATGTATTTCCCTCGACCCCAAATCGGTCGACTTCCACGCCGTCAAAGCCCGCACATACAAGCACAAGGGGGACTTCTCCAAAGCCGCCGAACTCATGGAGCAAGCGCGCTCTTTGGACGAGAAGGACCGTGCTATCAACACCAAATGTGCTAAATATCAGCTCCGCAACGACCAAAACGACAAAGCTCTTGAAACGGCCAGCAAATTCACCCAAAACCGCACCGGCGGACCTTTGGGCGATTTGGTAGATATGCAGTGTGTGTGGTACCTGGTTGAAGATGGACAGTCATACCTACGGCAGCGGCGGATTGGTCTCGCGTTGAAGCGATTCCACCAGGTATTCAACGTTTTCGAAACATGGCAGGAAGATCAATTCGACTTCCACACCTTCTCTCTTAGAAAAGGTATGATCCGGGCATATGTCGATATGCTGAGATGGGAGGATCGATTGAGAGAACATCCCTTCTTCTCGACCATGGCGATTTCCGCCGTGAAGGCTTATCTTTTGCTCTTCGACAATCCTGACCTGGTACACGGACCGATCATGGATGGTGCTAACGGGACAAGTAAGGCCGGGGAGATGACGGTCGCAGACCGCAAAAAGGTCCTCAAAAAGGCCAAACGTGAGCAGGAGAAGCTGGAGAAAGCGGAAGCGGAGAAGAAAGCCGCGCTCAAGGCTTCGAAGCCCATACCGAAAGCTGAAGAAGGGGGAAATAAAAAGGAAGATCCGGACCCGTTCGGTAAGACGTTGCTGGAGACGAAGGAGCCGCTCAAGGAGGCCATGAAGTTTTTGGGGCCGCTTCTGGAATTTTGCCCCGAGAATAGCGAGGCGCAGGAACTGGGGTTTGAAACATACCTCCGGCGCAAGAAATACCTGCTCGCGGTGAAGTCACTGCTCAAGCTGAAGGCGCTGGGAGTGGAGCCTGCGAAGACCCAAGAATTGGGCGCGAGGCTGAAGAGAGCGATCGACGGGGACAAAGAAGTTCCCGACAAGGTGAGAGAGATCGTCAAGGCCGAGGCCGGCGAATTGGTGCAATGACGCATGACTTGGACAAAGATGTTGAGATAGCTGATGGACCAACACGCGGCTCATTCATGCCGAGCCTTGTGTCCGCCTCGGGTAGACGACTCGGCCGCTCAAGAAGTGATATATTGCACTCAATCAGGCCAGGAATGATCCTTCCGGCAGGAAGTCTAAGTTCTTGATTGAGTCGGGGCCTCGTGGTTCATGGACATGTACATGGACATGGACATGAGCTTAACAGATCAAGCCATCATACGTACATGTGGGAGGTAGAGTACCTAGGTATCTACAATACTGCTCCGCGATGTACGTAGAACAGTAGCTTCAGGAGATCATAAAAGAAGGTAGACTTGCAGTTTGGTCGCGACACACACGACCGCAGACTGACGACTCAAAAAGTGACGAGTGACGAGTGATACTACTGGTACAGTACGGTGGGCGGAATCCTGGGCCAGTCTTACTGTATGGACGCCGGGACAAGAGGCACTCCAGAACCAGGAGGAGGTGCTTAAACTGCTTCTTCACAGAAAGATGTGCTTAGACTGCTTCTTTCACGAAGATGTGCCGTGGGAGCGGGCGGGCAGACTGAACAATATACTACGTCCGCTTCTATTCGCATATTCGCATATTCGCATATTCGCATGATCAGACGACTGTCCACAAGGTCATGTTTCTCAACAGATTCCGCGGCCGCCAGATCTGCCTTGAGCGAAACTTCCTCATCTCCACCTCGTCTACATCTTCGGCGTCGTGCGCCCCTCCTGGGGGACTCGACCCCTGGACCGTCCCGTTTGCCGAGAGTGGGGGCTTCTCATCATCCAGCAACGCCCTTTGCTGTCGCTGCTCTCGTTCTCGGGCCATCTTGGCCTGCCACTGCATGTCGCCGACCTTCCATCCTCGGACTACCCACAAGCACACCGCGCCGCCGACGTACATGAAGGCCGTGAAGAGCTGGGGCGGGAGGTAGATCCAGCTGAGCGTGTCCCTGCGTCTCAGTTCCAGGGCGATGGCCTCGGCGGTCGTCGTGGGCGGGACGATCAAGAGCCACGTCCAGCTCAGTCCGGCGGGCAGGTCTTGCAGGCCCAGCACCTCGGCGGCGACGGGCGCAATGGTCGCCCAGTACACGCCGGCCGTGGCTCCGCCGACGACGGCGAAAAAACACAGCAGTCCCATGGGTGAGGAGACCGTCTCGGCGGGGATCCAGAGTGCGAAACACAGGATGCCGCAGAGGAGGGTGAGGCAGGTGGCGAGATTGATGCGGCCCCAGCGGTCCGAGGAGAGCCCGATGAAGGGGCGACCGACCATTTGGCCGGCATTGAGGACGGCACCCAAGACGGAACTTTGCTGTGCGCTGAGCCCGATGGACCGACCGTAGGCCGGCAGCGAGAAGAGGAGGATGGTGTATCCGAACATGCTGAACCAGGACCAGCCTTGCAGGAGCAGAAATTCCGGCTTGCGCAGTAAGCTCAGATCGAATGATTTGTGCCGCGAGCCGGTCTGCTTGTTGCGGTCGCGGATCAGGTTCGCTGCTGTCAAGTTGACCGCGAAGACACAGATGCCGAGGACGCGGAACGCCCAGGGCAGTCCGTTCTTGTCGATGATGCGCTGAGTGACGAGCGAGTACATCAGACCACCACAGCCCGAGCCAGCGGCAGCAATGGCGTTTGCAAGGCTTCGTTTCTTGGTGAACCACTGGGCCATGATGCCGACGGAGCCGACGAAGAGGAAGCCCATTCCCCAGCCGAAGCAGAATCCTTGGGCCAGGATAATCTGGTACTTTTCCTTGCAGAAGCTGGCGCCGATGAGAGAGAGGGTCTCGAAGAAGACGCCAAGCAGAAGACACGCTCTTGTGCCGAAGAGGTGGATGATGCGTGTGGCCAGTGGTGCGACCAACATGGCCTGAGATATCGAGAGACCGCCAATGAAGGCATAGGTCAGGGCGGATGTGTTTGGAAAATACTCGTTGTTCAGGTAGTAGGAGAGGAATACGCCGTACGAGGAATTGATCCCCCAGGTGTGTGCTGTGAAGGCCGTGTCAGTGATTGGTCCTTGAACGAGAGGTACCATGAGATAAGTGTGCTTCGATGGTGATTGCGCGATACTGTTAGCCCCCGATCTCTCGGACCGGTTCGCCCATTTCCCCAGATTCGACAGACTTGGCCTGCGCGTAGAATCTGTGGCGCTCACAATGCAATATGTAGAACTCGCCCTTACCATTGATGAAGAAACAACAGGCCACGCAGACCCAGCCATATCCCCCGTCCGGTGGTGCATCGTCGACTTTGGGCAGCGAGGACGGCGTCTGTTCGATGTCGGTCTCTTCCGACTCGTTTCCATGACGTGAGCGGCTCTGTGTTGGTGCGGTTGCGCCGACGGGCATGTCCTCGCCCATTCTGTTCCTCACGGCTCGGGTAGACAAAGGTAGAGAAGGACAGACGAAGATGATGGCACGCTAGAAGGGTAGGGAGTCATGCAGAGCTGCATGCTTGCTATGTCACCGGTATATTGTCAACGTCGCCATCGCACAAAAAAAGCGTACCAGCCCGAGGCAAATCCGTCGGAGCGTCCATCCCCAACGCTTCTTCGGACCAACGAAGGTGTTTGTACGATCGGCCCTTGACTAACAACGGGTATCGTGATTGGGCGATGCTTGTGTCCGTACAGACGGTCAGCCGGCTTCGCACACACCCGGCAGAGGAGGTGGTATTCAGCAATTGTGGGGAGGATGGAAAAGAGGAGATGGCCGCCGGGTCTGCGCGGTGCTGTGCCGCGTTTGCCGACGTGACAGAGCCGGACATGAAGTCGTCGTCGCTCTAGTTTTCGCAAGCATTGACGACGTACTCCGCAGATGGCCTCGTTGCGTCCTCCAGCCGATGCAGTAGCCCGCTCACCTGGCCCCTTGCATGATCGCGAGTAAGCAGAGAGCAACACCGATGGTGGCGGATGAAGGGCGACAAGATGACATGATGCCCGTGTCATTCGGTGGAGCTTGTCGCCGGTTGTCGTCGCAACCAAAACTGCGCTCAACCGACCCAAACAAAAAGTCGACGACGGCTTTAGTTGGCGAGCCAGATCTCGGTGAGACCAATAGAAATCACGTCAATTCATTTCACATCTTGCTCCGTCCTCTGCGCTGGCTTGCAGTTGGGCACCAATCCGTCTTAACGTGGCGGCAGTCCGGAAATCGTGCTGTCCGCTCTTTGACCGTTGAGTTATCGTTGTTTGCTTCAGAGCGCCATCGAGGCCGAGTTTGAAATCTGGCGCTGCGTCTCGATGCATATGCTGCTGTGACACTCACTTCGGCACAGCTCAGGTCAACATGTTCCACAGGAAAAGCAGCAGTAGTTTGGGCGGCAGAAAAGTATCACCGCCTCAGCCGACACTCATGACTGCCGAACAGAAATGTAGGTCGCCTCCATCGTCTCTTACCAACCGAAAATGCCTCCACGGCAGCCTCCATTTCGGTCCAAATACTCACATGACTTCTCAGCCACCTACCTCGACAATCTGCGAAACAATCGTCCTGCCAGACCGAGTGGTTCGAGGCCAGCACCGTTCACCTCGAGAAACTACGGCTCTTTGACATCACAATCGTCCCTGATTCGCTCCGATTCCGCACCGACGGTATACACGCGCGAAGATGGCCCTGAAAAAGAGGTGGAGAGGCCAGACGAGGAGGTTGCTCTCCCGGTCGTACAAAAGTCCATGTCATTTTCCTCCAGTCTAAAGGGCCGACCTCTTGCACAACCTCCGGGCAACGAACCACCCAAGGTGCGAGGAAGAAAGGTGTCTCCGACCGCCATCGTCCAAGTGGCAGATCCATCCGCGTCCGGCGTGTATGTCGAGTCCGTGGCCAGGAAGCTGGAGAAAGAGGAAGCACACAGTCTGCGAGAAGCACTGGAGTTAATTGATCAGAAGGATGAGTTACGAATCTACGAGGCGGCCAAGGACGAAGCTGCCGATTTGGTATGGAAACACCAGAACCCTAAAGCTGCGGAAGAGGAACAGGTAGCGCCGTATCGAAATCCTGACTTGAAATCCAAAGACAGGCGGCGAAGCAGTGGTCACCGTCAGGCCAGTGGCTCGAGGAGAGTGTCGTTTCCAACTGCTGTAACCAACATATACGAAGAGCCGGAACAGATAACGGAGCAGTCAAAGCCAACCGTCCAACCTCCCAGCAATGAACTCCCCCTCAGAGCGAAATCGCGGAACAAGCTGCCCTGGTTGAGAACAAAGACATCTGAATCGCCAGATACAGCCGCCCCGGTGCCTGAGGGCAAGAAGTTCGACCGCTTTGAAATCCACAGAAACCCGCCAACTCAATCGCGGAAAGCCGGCTACACGGAGAACACGCCTCCTCGACCGCCAGCCATTGACACGATCGAGGAAGTCGATACGCCAAACTCCCGAGGCAGCCTAGAAATTCGAGGCGAGGACATCCGAGCCGCTACCAGCATGAAGAGGAAAGATCGAAGCCCCAATCTTCCCACTCCCACAGCTGTCAGTGATCAACTCGGCCGACCTATTGTCAGCTTCGAAAAAGGATGGAAAGCGCCAAGCGAGTCGCCAAGGGCAAGCCAGGATATGGACAGGCCTGTCATCAAGTTGACAGAGTCATCCTCGCCCTTCAAAGGAAGCGACAGGCCTTTACCGAGACCGACGTCTAGCCTCGAGGTCACAGGGTCTGCGCCTGCTGTGCCCGTCATCAATCTTCCGAAAGAGACACCATCCTCTCGGCCGCTCCCTGAGGTCACTGTCTCTGCGCCGGTTGTCCCTACCATCAATCTACCAGATGATGTCCCATTACCTCGGTCGAGTCCCGCGTTGCCAACGATTAATCTCCCTGACGATACTCCCGACGTCCCGATAATCAAGATCCAGGAAGACCGCTCCTCGTCTCCCGGCCCAGAGATCAACCGCCCAGACATAGCTCAACATGCTCGTCAGTCCAGGCCTCTCCCGAAACACTCGTCTTCGGCGCCACCCCAATCAAACAGCTCCGTCGTCAAGACGCCCTCAAATCGTCTCCCCTGGCTCAACTCCCGCCAGTCCCTCCCCACGGTCTCCTGCTCAAGTTGCGCGCTCCCGATCTCCGGCCGCATTGTCACAGCCTCGGGCTCCAGCTCCCGGCGTGATCTCAAAGCGCGCTTCCACCCCGAGTGCTTTACCTGCCACCACTGCAACACGCCGTTGGAATGCGTGTCCTTCTACCCCGAGCCAGACACCGCTCGACTTGAACGCTTAGACATCCCATCCGACCCTTCCCAACCTCTATCTCCGGAAGAAGACTCCCTCCTCCAGAACGACCCGTTGAGGTTCTACTGCCACCTGGATTTCCACGAGTTCTTCTCCCCGCGCTGCCGGTCCTGCAAGACGCCCATCGAGGGCGAGGTTGTCATTGCATGTGGCCACTCCTACCATGTGGATCACTTCTTCTGCGCCGAATGCGGTGATCCCTTTGGGGCGACGACGCCGTTTGTCGAAGGAACCGACGGCTACGCCTACTGCGTAAGATGTCACACGAGACGCACGAGCGCGCGGTGCAAAGGCTGCAGGAACCAGATTCTCGACGAAGTCACGGTCGAAGCACTGGGCGGGAAGTGGCATGAAACTTGCTTCGTATGTCTCGAGTGTGGTGGCGGGTTCGGTGACCAAGGACGATTCTTCGTCAGAGATGTCAATGTGGAGCCGACGGACAAGGAGAAACGAAAGGGCATCCTGACCAAGGTCGAGGAACGGGCCGTCTGTGGGGATTGTGAGGAACGGAGGTTGAAGGCTTGAGGTGAAGGCGGCCGTGGGACGCAGCACCGCACGAGCAAACTGATTTTTGATCTGGGATCCCGTCGATGTCTGGCATATGACTTGGTTGGCGTGGGCGTGGGCGTGGTGTTCAGGTGTCCTTGTTCTCCCTAAAACATTGGTCGTTAGCTGTTCGCCGTCGCAAAGTTTGACACGTTTTCAGGAGCAGCCAGCACAGTGAGAGCCAGCACAGTGAAACAGCATAACTCACTCATCCATGTCCTGAGTCCCGAGTCTCAAGTCCCAAGCCCTTAACCCTACTGTCCCTTTTACACAAAGGAGGATATACGATACGGGTGTACTTGTCCCAGGACGAGCTGGCCTGGCTCGTCTCTTAGACATCAATAATCCACACTGCGCCTCATCCAGGCAGGACAGGCTCGTCCACTCGTGTCATTTCGGCGTCTACAGTCGGTCAAGCACGCTTGCGCGCTCTCTCTGTCTCTCTATCTCTCTCTCTCTCTCTCTCTCTCTCTCTCTCTCTCTCTTCTACCCTACTTGCTCTGACTGACGGGCTGGTTTCTAGCAACACACATCTGCACGTAGAACGGGATTCGTTCGCTCGTAGACTTTGCAAGATGGACTTTTGACCCATCAAGGTATATCGTCGCATCGTGGTAGATGTAAAGTTCTGTCTCTGAACTGTTCTCTAGAGAAGGCACAAGACGCTAAGCAGGTAATGATGCGGATGGGGAAAAGTCCACAGTCGCTCGACGCTATCACACAAATAATCGCCCAAGGTGTATGGGAGGAACCTGAACCTCCGTTCACACGACTATCAAACCTCGTCGCACCGCTCCGCGCACACGTCCACAGCTCGTTTCAGTCTCCGTAGTGGTACCCTCTCTGGCAGGCCTGCAAAGAAGAATGCTGCCCGTTCATTTCAATGTCACCTTCAGCTCGTCCTGTGGGCCCTTCACCGTCAGCAAGTCATGTAAAATTGAGCTCGAACCCGGAACTCCATGCTCAATGCAGTCGCTCAATAGCTGAAGCACTTTTCCCCATTATACCTTTTCCCGAACTCCAAGATTGTTCAAGCATAATGATAGCCCTGCACATGTGATCCTCGAAGGAGATGCTGTCATTTCATATTCCCACGCTCAGCCGACCCCAAGAAGTTGTCATGCTGATAATGATTGCTGGGAGTGGATTGTACCCGGCGAAAGAATAGTTACTTTTGATCTTTTCCATATATCCTCGCAGTTTTCCGAGATAGAAAGCGGTCATGAATTTCCACAATGGTCACCTTTGATGTCACAAGGCCGGTTATCTTACGACCTGTATTTCACTGGTCTGAGGCCACGAAGTAACACCCGCTTCCTAACGCGGAGGTGAAGTCTGATATGACCCATTCGTGGCTCGACCGTCGACATTGCTAGATTCGTCGTTGGGTGAGCCTTCGCCGGCAAGCTTGTTGTCAGACGCAACAATCTTGCCGTGAATGGCCTGGAGCTCCTTGCCCTTAATGCCCTTGTTGGGCCAGTAGGTGGCAGCATAGTCCCTGCAAGACGTTAGTAAAGTCACAAGCTGAATCTTCTCGTAAAACTTACCAGAATCGCTTCTCAACCGACTCCTGATTCTCATCTAGCTCAG